CTGTTATTTCTTAGGTGAGTCTGTGATTTGTTAGACTGTGACTGGTTAACCTATCAATGATTAACTTATGATTGGATAGCCTGTGGGCGGCACGGTGACGCAGTGGGCAGCGCTGTCGCCTCATAGCAAGAAGGCCCTGGGTCCGATTCTCCGGCTGGGCGACCAGGGTCCTTTCTGTGTGGGGTTTGCATGTTCTCCCCGTGTCTGCGTGGGTTTCCTCCCACAGACATGCAGTCAGGCTAATTGGACATACTAAATTGCCCGTAGGTGTGAGTGAATGTGTGTGTATGTCTGTCTGTCTGCCCTGTGATGGACTGGTGACCTGTCGAGGGTGTATCATGCCTTCTGCCCGATGGCAGCTGGGATAGGCTCCAGCGACCCTGAGGGAGAAGCGGCTTAGAAGATGTGTGTGGATAGCCTGTGATTTATTAGTATGTGATTGCAACCTGTTTTTTGTTAGCCTGTGATTTGTTGGCTTTTTTGAATCGACTAAACAATTTTATTGGCTTCTCTGATTTTTACTGCATTTCTATTCGGTAATGGATATAAAATCTTTTTTTTCTGAGATCACAGCTGCACTGTGGTCCATTTTAAAATGAAATACACATACAGAACATCATAAGATGTGAGGTGTGAACACAGGCAGTTATTCGTATCACTGAGTATATTTTCACTGTGCGGACGGATGTTATGCTTTTGTGCCAGTGTGTTAATTATTAATTATACATGCATGCATATATTTGCATATCGCTTGCTGATGAAGGGAAATGTTGCTTTATTAGAACTGAGGCGGCTCTGTATCAGCGTCTGCCCTTCATGAATGTATGAATGAGCTCATTGGCTGAGTGTTGTGAGCTATTTTTATCCCTCTTGTAGGCCACGGTGAGGAGGCTGCAGAACATGTGGGAGAAACTGAGAGAGGAGAACGGATTTGCAGTGTGAACCAAACACGCTTCATCATTTCTCCTCTCTTTCTGCTTTTCTGTTTTCCGTGTGCGCCGGTGAGCACGTTCCACAGCAGGTTAGGGTCCTGCTTCGTGCCGAATGTCGACAAATTTAACCTGACAGCTCCAACAGAGAGCACTGCTAAACCTCTCTCTCTCTCTCTCTCTCTCTCTCTCTCTCTCTCTGTTCTATCTCTATATCTTCATCTCTCGCTCTCCATCTCTCTCTCTCTCTCTCTCTTTCACACACTCACATTTTCTTTCTCTTCCTTTCTCTCCTCTCTCTCACTCTTTCTTCTATTCTCTCCTTTCTATCACTCATCTGTCTTTCTCTCGCTCTCTCTCTTTTCTCTTCCATTATCTCTCTCCACCACCCTATCTCTTTCTCACTCTCTCCCTCCCCCATCTCTGGTTCTGTGTCTCTCTCTCCCTCTTCCCCCTTTTTCACTCTCTCCCTCCCCCATCTCTTGGTCTCTCTCTCTCTCTCTCTCTCTCTCTCTCTCTCCAGCCCTCCACTCCATCTCTTCTTTCTGTCTCTCTCTTCTCTCCCTCTATCTCTCTCTCCCCCTCCCTCTCTTCTTTCTCTCCTCTCTCTCTCTCCCCCTGTCTCTTTCTACTTCTCTCTCTCTTTTCTTTCCCCCGTCCCTCTCGCTCTCTTTCTCTCTCTCTCTCTCTCTCTCTCTCTCTCTCTCTCTCTCTCCCCATCTCTCTGTCTCTCTTTCTCTACTCCTCTCTCTCTTTTCTTTCCCCGTCTCTCTCTCTCTCTCTCTCCCCATCTCTCTGTCTCTCTCTCTACTTCTCTCTCTCCTTTCTTTCCCCGTCTCTCTCTCTCTCGCTTTCTCTTGCCCTGTCTCTTGCTTTCTCTGCTCTCTTTTCTCTCTCTCTCTCTTTCCTCTCCCTCTCTTCTTTCTCTCTCTCTCTTTCTTCTTTCCCTCTGTCTATCTGTCTCTCCTCTCTCTCTGTCCGTCTCTTTTTCTCACTCTCCCCCTCCCCCATCCCTTGGTCTCTCTCTCTCTCTCCCTCTCTCTCTCTCTCTCTCTCTCTCTCTCTCTCTCTCTCTCTCTCTCTCTGCGTGTGGTGTTGTGTAACTCTGAGCTGAGTTCACTGAGGTTCTGTCTCTAATTAAGAGCGCTGCCTCATTAAGCTGCAGTGTTCAGGAATTAGCTGCAGTAAGAGAGCGGGGGGTGGGGGGGGCAGCGGGGAGGGGCTGCTGCTGCATGCTCCCTCATTTTCTTCCCTTCTTTAACTCTGTGAGTGTAAAACACTGGCTGTGTTTACACGCACCCTAATCATCCTCTAATAATCAGACTAATAGCTCAAACGGAATAAAAATAATTCATAGGCACATTTAATCGTCATAGAGACGTCTGATCTGCTAAGCATAATCCCTCAGTCTGATGAGAACTAGTAGCTTAATCAGAATAAAGAGCCTTGACTAAAACTGGAATACAGTAATCTGACTGGCTGCGTTTACACACAGCCTAATAGTCCTAATAAATGAATAAAACTGTAGCTGAGCACACTGGGAGGAGTTTTGGCTATACTGGGAGGAGCGTTGGTTGTACTGGGAGGAATTTCAGTTGTACTGGGAGAGGTTTTAGTTGTTCTGGGCGGGGATTTGGTTGTACTGGGAGGAGTTTCCGTTGTGCTAGGAGGGGCTCCAGTTGTACTGGGAGGGTTTTTTTTGTACTGGGGGGGGTTTAGGTTGTACTGGGAGGGGTTTCTTTCGTGATGGTAGGGGTTTTGGTTGCCATGAGAGGGGTTTTGATTGTACTAGGAGGAGTTTTGGTTGTACTGGGAGGAGCTTTGGTTGTACTGGAAGAGGTTTTGGTTGTTCTGGGAGGGGATTTGGTTGTACTGGGAGGAGTTTCAGCTGTACTGGGAAGAGTTTCTGTTGTGCTAGGATGGGCTCCAGCTGTACTGGGAGGGGTTTCGGTTTGTTCTGGGGGGTTTAGGTTGTACTGGGAGGGGTTTCTGTCGTCATGGAAGAGGTTTTGGTTGCCATGAGAGGGGTTTTGATTGTACTAGGAGGAGTTTTGGTTGTACTGGGAGGGGTTTTGGTTGTAGTGGGAGAAGTTTCTGTTGTACTGGGAGGAGTTTTAGTTGTACTGGAGGGATTTTAGCTGTACTAGGAAGGGTTTTGGTTGTACTGGGAGGGGTTTTGGGTGTCGAATGTGTCTTGGAGAGACAGATGTGTTTACGCTGCTATAATACGTGGCTCAGATGCATCTCGGTCCATCTCCTGAAGTGGTTTGAGTGATCAGTTTTAAATGTGTCTTGGGTGCTTTTACACTTACATTTTTATGTGGCCTCATTCAGATTTAATCGTGATACTCAGGATGCATGAGGTGGCCAGGAGTAAATGGGGTCTTACTCATCTAGGGCAGGGAGAGTCATGGCTGACCGGAGATGACTAAAATCTCTCAGTCACTGGTTTAAAACCCTGGTTGCGTGGTGCCATAATCTTAACACAGGCCAATGTACATGGACTAAAAACTGTGCAGATGATGTAATTACTCATTATACCATGTCTGACTATCTGATATATAAACATACAGGGCTAATATTGCTTGTGTAACAAAATATTTATGATTTAATTAGATGTGCATCCATGCATCACTCCACACATGGACTGGAGCCAGTTACTCACTCACTGTGAGTGTTCTGTAATTTGGCAGCATTTTCAGGCTCAACCCCTTTACTATTGGAGCTGCTTACGTCATCAAGGATTTCCCAGTGTTGCCAGTAGGAGGGGGTGTATAGAGGGTGTGTGCATGCGTGTGTGTGTGATGGGGGTGGGTAGACTACCTAAATCTGTCCTAGCAACTAGCAGCCCAAATCCCAGGGGACAGACATCTTCCAGTACAGAGATTCATCTCAGAAAACGGTGGAAAAACAACAAAACATTACATTGGGCTCATTGTTCTGTAGTCATTGTCTAATCGAGTGGAAGTACTGCACCTGTTTCAGTGAGGCCATTAACGTTACACTGTCAGATAACCCAGCCTCGTAAAAGAGCATTTTTATCATCTAATAACATTTTTATTCACATGTATTTGTACCGAATCGTCGTAATCGATGCTTTTGAGTCATATCATGGTCGTGTACCTCTATATTAACGTACCAGTGTAGGGTTTCATCTTAAAATGGATCATTGAACATGAATCTGGGGGTTAAATGGACGCCCTCCCGCACCCCTTCCCCCCGCGGCCTGATTGGCTGGGGTCGGAGCGACGTCATGGCCACTCTGATTCGTTTGGTTCGAAACACTAGAAAAGGATTCGAATCTTGGTCTCGCTTCTGCTGCGTTCAATTTCATGCACGGACGCGATTCATTGAAACGAATCAGCGAATGGTTTTTATTTTATTTAGCTTATTTATTTATTTAAAAAATGATTTCAAAAACAGCAACCTGCTGAAATAAATCAATGTATAAAAAATGTGAGTAAATAAATCAAGAAATAAATAATTGAGTGGCTGTAAAGCAAAAATAAATAAATGAATGACATTTTAAATATGGGACATAAAATAAATAAAGGCTTAAATAAATAAATAAAGGCTTAAATAAATAAATAAATAAATAAAGGCTTAAATAAATAAATAAAGGCTTAAATAAATAAATAAATAAATTGACAAAACGCGATGCAAAAACAAGGCAAGATTAATCGATCACGATGCTTTCTCTACGATTAACCAATATGAGGTTATTATTATTCTACTTCATTAGAATACTAAAGAATAAATTTCTGAAATTAATACATATATTAATACATAAGTGTGGAGCTGCTTAAATACAAAAATATATTTATTTATTTATTTATTTAGTCATTCATTCATGCTATCATGTCCCACAATCATTTATGCTACTGGTATACTAATCTATTTCCATTTTAATACGTTAATTAATTTTTTCCCTTTAAACGATACTGCTTTGTGATAGGCTAACGTGAAGTGGAACGGTCCGGCCGGCAGCCAGTCAGCGCCGAGTGGGCGGAGTGAGTCGTGTCGCCGAGCGATTCGAAGACTCGTTCAGAAGGGATTCATTTGTGTGATGCTGATGAGCAGCTCATTAAAGCCTGAAGCTCAGAGCGTCTCTGCAGCAGCTCCCTCCATCCGAACCGCAGCCGCCACAAGCCGAACCATGTCGAAAAAGGAGGAAAAACCGGGAGAGGAGAAGGCAGAACCTGAATCTAACTGGAAACACCTCATCTATAATCCAAATACAGGGGAGTTTGTGGGTCGCACTGCCAGCAGCTGGGGTGAGAGAGAGAAAAATCTATTTATAAATCATTACAGTAGCATAATATCATTAATTTCATGCACGCAACCGGGCTTGTTCGCTTGGATTCAGTGTGGAAATGAATGGCTGGGTCGTGCAATGCATGCCATGCACTCATTCAGCATCTTAAATCTATATAAGGTTACATGCTGTCAGAATAAATGATTTTTGATGATCATATTTTCCTGATATCATGAGGAACCTCCGTGTGTAGCTTCCAGTCAAAGACATAACATCCACATTAATGTATTACACGTATCAAATGCAATAATTTATTAAATAACGAGGCTGGAGATGGCTTCTTATCGGAATTTTCCGTTCCACCTTAAATGATGCAGCATTTACATGCATTTAAGGTGGAACGGAAAATTCCAATAAGAAGCCTGCATGTCGTGGAAAGGCTTTAGAAAGGCCCTGCTGTCGAAATCCACTTTGCACTTTTGTCTTCGACAGAAATCAAACCAGTAAGAGGCGGGACAGGCAGATTTTTCGCCCGTCAGTAAGGATTGTTAGTGATGCTGGGTTTTTTCCACAGTCCTTCAGAACGGCCAGGCCACCTCAGACGTGTGAGGAAGGGTCTACTGAGACGTATCAGACATGGCAAAGCCTGTTCACTGTTATTAGCACTACACTGATTCACCAGGGGTGTGAAAATGGGTGCTTTAAGTGTGCAAATTGAATGTGGCGTGGGTTAAAATGCTCCCGTTTGCTCCAAATGGCTCTGTCTGTGGCATTTTCCTGCACAGCTATTATTATTATATGGAGGCTTTCAAGGTCAAATCTGGCTTGTTTTTCCATTATGAAGGCTTAAAAGGGATAGAAAACAGCTGTGTTGTCCAGACATGACAGGAAAATCGTCTTTGGCCGCATAGAAATAGGAATTATACATTACAGTTATGCATTATACAGTCAAGCCTGGACGATATATTGGTTCCAATAAAATCGGCCGATGTGGATTTATTGATATTGGTTAGAAAGGCCGAAGATAAAACACTGATCTTCATAAATGGCCTGCTTTACATAATAATAGCAGACAGTTTACAATCACATCAGTCAGAAAGGCACTGTTTAGAGTGATGTCAGATTAAAGGGCCAATGTCCTAAATTTTTCTTGTTTTTTTCCCCTCTGTGTCTTTGTACCAAAAACAGTGTTATCTTGTTACACGATAATTTTCCAACCTGGCTGTTTTTGTTACTGTGCCTTTAAGATATGGTAGTATTGATATGTAAATTACCTCTGTTCAGATTGGCAGCCCTTATTCAAATGAGTAGCCCAGGCCGAAGCATTCCTTATAGCTTCATTGTAAAGGGGCGGGGCTAAATTGATGTAGGCTGAATGGATGGATAAATGCAGGTACATTGATTGATTTGATTTGGATTTTTACAAGCCACATCAAACTCTTTTATTAAAACAAAATAAATGAGGGAAAATATTTTTTCCGTGATATGGGTCCTTTAAACTTCGTTGGTGAGTATTGTGGGTGAGCAGAATTTTTAGCTCCTTAAGGTTGGTATCAGTATCGGTGCCTGTCGTTCACACTTTAATATACATACAGTATACACCAATCACAGGAGTAACACCTTACTGGGCCTTATAGACACCAGAGCCGTTAATCTCAATTAAATTCCCATTAATGATGATTGAAAGGTGGTCTAGAAGTGAGAAATGGTGATTTTCATTATAGTTGACTTATTTAAGTAAATGAGTTTCTTTAAATTAATTCTAATCCATTTCAATAACTTTGGTTTATTAATACTAATCTTTAGACTATGAATTATTCAGTATCTACTATGAATTATTCAGTAACTACTACTAATTATTTACCATCTACCCTAAGTTATTAAGTAACTGCTCTGAATTATTCAGCATCTACAGTTAATTACCCAGTATCTACTATGAATTATTCAGTAACTACTGTGAAGTTTTATAAATATATAATGTTTGTTCAAGTGTTTATTACAAGTATATATAAAGTGAGTCAGCAGTAACATAGAGAGAGTGTTGAATTAGATTTAAGTGCATATACAGTAATATGGTGTGTTTATACAGTAATGTAATGCGCTTATACAGTAATGTGTTATACAGTAATGCAGTGTGCTTATACAGTAATGCAGTGTGCATATACATTAATATAGTGTGCTTATACAGTAATGCAATGTGCATATAAAGTAATGTAGTGCGCTTATACAGTAATGTGTTATACAGTAAAGCAGCGTGCGTATACAGTAATGTGGTGTGCATATACAGTAATGTGGTGTGCATACACAGTGAAGCAGCGTGCATATACAGTAATGTGGTGTGCATATACAGTAATGTGGTGTGCATACACAGTAATGCAGTGTGCATATACAGTAATGCAGTGTGCTTATACAGTAATGTAGTGTGCATATACATTAATATAGTGTGCTTATACAGTAATGTAGTGTGCTAATACAGTGATGCAGTGTGCATATACAGTAATGTAATGTGTTATACAGTAATGCAGTGTTCTTATACAGTAATGCAGTGTGCATATACGATAATGCGGTATGCGTATACAGTAATGCATTGTGCTTATACAGTAATGCAGTGTGCTAATACAGTAATGAGGTGTGCATACACAGTAATGGAGTGTGGTTATACAGTAATGTGTTATACAGTAATGTAGTGTGCTTATACAGTAATGCAGTGTTCATATACAGTAATGTAGTGTGAATTGTTAGTAATTTATAATGTTTGTTCAAGTGTTCATTCCAATTATATAAGAAGTCAGTCAGCAGTAACACAGAGAAAGTGTGGAATTAGATTAAAGTGCATATACAGGAAGGTAGTGTGCTTATACAGTAATGCAGTGTGCATATACAGTAATGTGTTATACAGTAATGTAGTGTGCATATACAGTATTGCAGTCTGCCTATATCGTAATGCAGTGTGCATATAAAGTAATGCAATGTGCATACACGGTAATGCAGTGTACTTATACAGTAATGCTGGGTGCTTATACAGTAATACAGTGTACTTATACAGTAATACTGGGTACTTATACAGTAATACAGTGTACTTATACAGTAATGCAGTGTTCTTATACAGTTATGCAGTGTGCATGTACAGTAATGCAATGTACATATATGTACATACATGCGGTATGCTTATACAGTAATGCAGTGTGCATATCAGTAATGCAGTGTGCTTTAACTTTACTGGAGAAAAAAAAAACATACTTTACTTTTACAGTAAATCAATGAAGTCATTTTGGTCCATTTATCATGAAATGAACAGTAACATGGAGAAAGTGTAGTATCAGATTAAAGTGCATATACAGTAATGTATATGCCGAGCCAGAGAATGGAGGTGGGTGATCTGTAAAAAAATGTAAAATCACAATATTTCAGGTTTTGTCACTATATATATATATATATATATATATATATATATATATATATATTTGACATTGATAAATTGGAAAAGACAGAATAAATACTATCAAAATCTATGAATTCAATGATTTATGTTCTATATTTCACAAACTATGCTAATGATGCTCTCTTTATAACCAAACATGCAGTGAAGAAGTGATTTTACTTAGGACTTACTTACTTGTACTTAGGATATTCACAATATGCTCAGAAAAGCATACGGTACAGTATGATTGGTAGTTTGTCAGTTTCCTGAGCCACAACAAACCTGAGTTTCTCAGTGTTTACATATAATTATTTTCTCCCTGGGTTAGATAGAGTTAGTGTCGATATCGGTACTCGGTATCAGTACTCACTATTGGACGATACTTAAGGATCAGGTTTGGGTATCGGATGAGAAACAGTAGTATCAGTGCGTCCCTACAAATGAAGGCATTGTTGGGTCATTTTGATGAGGTGAGACGTGTTGGCTGACCAGGTGAGCTCCTCAAGAAAGGATGACATCTGGTGGCCAACAGCAGGAATGACAACAAAAGGGATAAAAACTTAATGGCCAATAAAGAAAGGAGAGAATTAGATCCAGCCAATCAAAAGTGGGTAGATTGTCCTGCTTTAGCCTTTCTCAAGAAACAAACTGCTCAACTTTATGTTAAGTACTTTACTTTTACATCTTGAGCCTTAACAGTATGAAAATGGTGAACAGTGAGCAGCAGAGGCACCGAACAGTAGAACATTCCCTAAAACCGCGACAGCTCACTTCTAATGATCTGTTCAGCAGGTCCATATTCAGTATAACCCGAGTCCTGATTTCTTAGACGTACTGAAGCTCTAAACTCCAGCATTACCAGCACCAGCCTAGCTTTCAGCCTGCTGCCTGTTTGATTCCAAGCACAGAAGAATAACAGTGAGACTGTATTGTACCAAACAGGTTGATCACAGATGTGACCAGGTTGGGGTTGTACACTGTCTCACCTGCCGTCCAGGGTTTGCTGCAGTGGCCCTAAATGTGAGGTGGTGCTGGGGGTGTGGTTCTCTCCTCGCTCTCGGCTCCTGTGCTTACATATTTATGAGTGCGGCACGAGTAGGGCGTCATCAGGGGGCGGTAACGCTCGCTGACTGATTTGCATACTGTGACGTGTCATTGTACTTTGGTACGAAGACACATCATCCGTGCCTATAGCAGAGTTGAGCCAGAGGGGGCGCTGCAGAGGCGGAACTGACCACAATAAAAATTGTATTTTTTTACAGTTTGGAAAGATGTGTTCACATTTTAAGCAAGGCTGGTATATTTTGTTATTACAGAGCAGAGCGTTTCGGCTGTTAATGAAAAGGTCTTAGGGTGGAGTTACTCTTTAAGAACCCAGATGAAAGCAGTTCAGTCTGTCCTCCATGGTCCTCTTGATGCTCGGAGGCGTGTGCACTCTGCTCCCCTTCCTGAAATCTACTGTCATCTCTTTGGTTTTGTTTCCACCCTATGTGTCAAACACAAGGCCTGTGGGCCAAGTCAGTATTTCTATTAATGTTAGCCCGGTTCACCATGAGCAGCACTACAATCCCCAGCATGCACTTCAATGTAATGTGCACTCCAACGCCCTCCCCCAAACAACAGTCTCTGGGACAGCAGTTACACCACAAAAAGAAAAGATACCGAGTGTCTCGTTCAAGCAAATAGGCAGGTTTAAAGACATTTAAAGAGGTTTAACGGTTATCTGTAGCTAATGTAGTTTATTGTTTGCTATTTAAAACAATTTGTTTTATTTAAAATTATTTGTGAATGGTCCAAGTGTTCAGTGCTTATTGTACTGTTTGCAGTTTTGCCATATTTCAAATAAACAAAGGCCAGTTGTCGTTTTTGATCTGCAGACTACCGATATGTCTTTAGTGACCTTAGTGATCGTGTTGGAGTTTGTTTGGTGATGCAGTTGTGGGAGTGGGACAATTCCGCAGGTCTTGAGCTTGACCGGTCTGGAGGGAATAATTGTGTTAAATGCTGACCTTAAGTCAGAGAACAGCATTCTTATGTTGATGTTTCAGTGCAGTGTGTTCCATTGTGAGGAAGATGGGATAGATACGCATCTCAAGGTGCAGTAGGAGAAATGAAGAGTTCTGGGGAGGCAGTTCTTCATGTGAGTCAGAGCCAGTATGGGTGTGAGTGCAGTTGGGTGATAGTCAGTGAGGCATGAGATGTTCAGTGTCTTTGGTAAGGGATGATGGAGGTTGGGAACAGTAGACTGTGCCAGGGAGAGGCTGAGGATGCTGTGGAAGTGGCAGCCAGCTGGTTGGCACTCGCTTTCAGGACCTTGGTTGATCTCGAAGCAGGGCTCAATAAAGTGAGCCTGAATTTGAATGCTGGCATCCCTGATGGCAGCTTTCAGATTGTGTCCTGCTGCTTTCATTCAAAGTGTACTACGAATTTTTCAGTATACACTACAAATTATTCAGTATCTACTATAAATTTTTCAGTATCTACTATGAATTATTCTGTCTCCATGATTAATTATTCAGTGTCTAATATGAATTATTCAGTATTTTCAATGAATTAATCAGTATCTAATATTTATTATTCAGTATTTTCTATGAATTATTCAGTATCTAATATGAACTATTCAGTATCTAATATGAATTATTTATTATCTACTATGATGTTTTCAGTATCTGCAAAAAAGTTCTTCAGTATCTGCTATGCATTGTTCAATATCTACTATAAATTATTCAGTATTTACTACGAATTTTTTAGAATCTACTATGAATTATTCAGAATCTTCTATTATTCAATAACTACTATGAATTATTCACTGTCTATGATTAATTATTCAGTATCTGCTATGAATTATTTAGTATCTACTGTGAATTATTCAATAACTACTTTGAATTATTCAATAACTACTATGAATTATTTATTATCTACTATGAATTATTCAGTATTTATTCAGTATTCGTTACACTTGAACACAGACATTTGGAAGCTTGCTTATAAAAGCTTATAACAGACTTTAATATATCGCTGCTGTTGGAACAAACCTCATATCTCCAAAATGGTAACTTTCCAGGAGAAGGAAAAAAATGTACTTTAATGTAAGTCAATGGAACCAGACTTTTTTCCAACTAGTTTTGGGTCCTTTCTTTTGGTCCATTCATCACGAAATGTACACACAATGTAAAGAGCAGCAGCAAAAACTGAACAACGCTGCTCTACATTCCTAACAACTAACCAGAACCTGCTTATACTGCCATATCCACCAAGATACCACAGAGAAAACCATCCTGGTTGAATTCCCTTTTTTTCCTGCAGGTCAGACATGTTCTAAAGCCCTGATTGTGGTTTATTTTTGTCTCACAGGCCTCATCTTGCTCTTTTATTTGGTCTTCTATGGCTTCCTGGCTGGAATGTTCACTCTGACGATGTGGGCCATGCTTCAGACTCTGGATGAGAACGTCCCTAAATATAGCGACCGCGTCGCCTCCCCAGGTGAGTCCCAGCAGAGACATCGAACACATCAGGCACACATGATGCCTTTGTTAGGCATTGATAAACAGTAGTGAGATAATTAGACGTCCTCTTTCACGCCTGCAGCTGGATTAGTAATAGATTTAATAGATGCTTGAAGCAGTGTTGATTTTTCTTGGAGAAAATGTAACTGTAGGTAATGAACATCATGGTTTAAGCAGGGATGCAGTTGCAAAATAAAAAAAAGGTGAAGCCTGAACTCCAGTGAGTGCCCAATTACATGACTAACACATAAGCCAAACACATTAGATCCCTTTATTAATCACTATAGTGTTATTATTTAATGTAAAGTCGACAGTTTTGTGATGAAAGTCGAGTGAATGTCGACTAATCGCTGACGACGTCACAAATAAAACCACAGGAGAACAGGTTGCTTTAAAACAGGGGTCCTCAACCTTTTCCACTCTAAGACCCGCCTGTTTATAACTATATAGCAGAAAAACTAAAATCAACCTTTTTTTAAAATAGTTTTCTAATTTTTTATTGCTCACACTGATTTAGGGCCTGAAAAACGTCAGCTCTTCATTTTACTTCAATCACAAAAAAAAAAAATTGCAATTATGATAAAAAAAAACACGTTTGCAGAGATGTCACAAAAGAGGGAAAAGAAGGGAAATGTAGATGTGGACGGATTTGGAGCTGTAGTGCATCACGGTTTCACTAAAACACTCGTGTGGCTCTCACAGGAGTCAGTGTTTGGTCTGGAGTCTCTATGGTTTTGAGGGTTTTAGCGCCTCATTTGAAATAAACCTCACTAAACTCAGTGGGCTTCTGGATCAGCATCATGATCAGATTCATTTGATATCTGCTTCTCTGCCATTAGTTTATCAATTTGAGTTTGACTACTCTGGTCACTGATACTCGGCCAGAAATCAAACACAGATCTTTGCTATTACTTTATGGCTCATCTGTCGTTTTTATCAGCTGCAGCTCGAGCTGCAGGAACGACATGAGAGTCTGTAAAGATCCAGAAGTTAAAACAGGCAGATTATACTGACAGTAGAGCGCTGACCTGCTGCTGGAAGAAGAGGAAAGCCAGCTCTGTAGATGAATTCCATCGTTTGATCATAAAATGCATTCACACCAGAGGTGAACTGAACAGGGTTTGGTTGGAAGCAGACGGAGACCCGTGGGTTTTGCCAGACTGGTTCAGCTGTTTGATGCAGACCCGAATATGGGTGGAGTGTTCCAACACGTCAGCACAAAGAAAACTAAAGAAAAAAGTTTGATAGGTCCTCACTAAACAAGGCAGGAGAAACACCCTGAGGAACATCTCCATCTCTGGCTAACTGTCTGCGCTGCTTGTCTCAAACTGATGATGTTTAATTAGGCTGCGAATGCAGTGTTTTTATTTATGTGTCTCTACTGGCCCACTATGAACTAATGCCTCCCCCTGAGTACAAGCCCAAGGACCACGAGAGGGTGCTTCCCAGCCCACTGGTGGTCCGTGGCTCACGGGTAGAGACACCCTGCTTTACAGCAAGCGACTATAAAAATCCAACTTTAATAATCCGACTGGTCAGTTGATTGTGACATGCCCTTTCCAAAGAGCCCTGGATCGCATTGCTACCCTTCAGGAAAACGGAGATACGGAATCTACGAAAATTTGTGTCCAACTTAGGCGGACCCCTGACGGCCTTGCCAAGATGCTCGCCTGCGGCGATTGTCTTAAGAGCCAGAGAAATTTAAAGCGCCGTAACTCGGCAAAGAAAAGAGTAACTTACTTCAAACTTTACAGGACTTTTATTGAACTCTTTGGGACATTCAGTATCTGATCTTTGAAGCACTGTAGATGGTGAAACGTTAGAATGAAGCCAGTAGAGCATGACGTGCTCTTTCCAATGATCACCCTGGATCACCTTGCTAGCCTTCAGGAAACCAGAGATACGGACCTGAAATCTCCAGGCTCCTCACCTGCTGTCTTCTCTGAGGCGTCCATGTTGTTAGTGTCATAATCACATGATCAGTGACATCAAGCTTAAAGCGTCATCAGTGAGCAGTAAAGTCAACTAGTCTGTGCAGCCCCTAGTTGCATATGTATGCATGTTAGAGATGCACTGAAATTTCAGCCACCGAAACTTTTTTTCCTTGTTATTCCTCTGCTTGAAAAAAGTTACAATTATAACAGTGTCAATTCCTCAATACCTTATAAACCACCTAGCCCCCCTCCATCTTATGGATCCCTAAACCCCCCCAACTGCCTAACCCACCCTTCCCACCCAACCCTTATACCCCCCACCCCTAAAAGCCCCCACCCACAGTTTCTGCCTGCCTCCCCCAACTTAAAAAATACATGAATAAAATAGAATAAAATAGTAAAATAAATAAATAAAGGATAAACAATGATGGACAAATAAAAAAAAAATAATAAATGCAAATAAATAAAACTGTCCACAAAAACAAAATATAAGTAAATTAAAAAAAGATAAGGACGTTCTATAATCTATATTTAAGTTAGATAAACGTTTAAAATAGGAAATGAATGGTTGCCAGATCCGGTCAAATATGGGCCGCCAAAACATTTTGATCGGTAGCGGCGCTTTCGGGTTTTTGGCCAAAGGAGAAAAAGGCTGAAAATTTTGGATGAAAAAAACCCAAATATTAAATAGGACTACAAGAAAGTGTCACAATCAGCAGTGAAAATATCAGCCATGTGCAACTTTTTCACAGTTTTTTTATTTGGAACAGTAAACACAGTCTGTTCATCCCAAGTATTAAAGGAACAGTTCGGCAAAAAAATCTAATTAACTTGATTTATCTGTTACCTGTCTGAAACCTGTCTTGGCTGATCAGCTGCATCTGATGAAAGTGATAAATCTTTTGAATTTGATTTTCTGCCAAACTATTACTTTTAGCGAACTACAACGCTCACTGCAGGTATGATAGCTGCTCTAGTTTACAGCGGGAGATGTTATCTATCTGAAAAACCATTTCACCAAGCATAAAATGGTTCTATATAGAACTCGTGGTTCTAATTGTCTTTACTAAAGAACCCTTGAAGAGCCATCTTTTTAAGAGTGTACGCCATTTTACTAGATTGTTTTAAAACAGTAATATATATATTACTTGTTTTCGAAAGTTTGATAAGCCCAGTAGATTAAGCCTTGGGCTTGTATTTACAGAGATGAGTTTAGTGACAGTCTGAGCTCAGCAATTGTTAGCAACATTAGCCTAGCAAGAGAAGCAGACATCAGATGTAAAACCTGATTGACTGCATCTGGGGAAAGTGATAAATCAATTGAATTAGGTTTTTCGCCAAACGATTCCTTTTAGCGAGCTACAACGCTCAAGAACATCTCCAGTGCAGGCCTGATGGCACCTGAACATACGTCACAATGTGCAGAATACTGACACACTGACACCGTCTGCACGAATACAGACTGTAGTCTTTTTAATACTTTTATTTTATGTAAACTGTTTTTATTGTCCGAAGAACATTTGGAATAATTTTTATGTTCAAAGAAAATGAGACAAGCATCAAGATCACGTTTGTGGGTGGAGCTTGGCTGTATCATTTGAAAGTAACTGACAATAACAGTCATCTCATGAGGGACATTCTCTGCTTCCAGGGTTGGTCATCAGGCCAAAGTCGATGGAAATCGTCTACAACAGATCAGATCCCTCACAGTATCAGGAGTTTGTGCAGCATCTGGAGACCCTTCTGCAGCGTAAGTCTTCAGCACATCCCTTCAGTTTCATCTTCTCTGGTAAAGAGAATTGATACAGGCCTAATGTGATTTTAAACAGCTAAATACTTTAAATAATATGTTAATGTAAAGCTTTGTTTCCTTTACTATTATAAAATTATTATATTACAAGTCATTAATAACCCCTTAGATAATGTAATACTTCATGATTTTCCCACAAACATATGTGACTGAATTTCAGACCACATTTGGATTTAGATTGGGAATGCACGTTGCAGTCTGGGGTTTTGCCAGCAGGGGCTGCTGTTAGCACACAAGTGGCAGTGAGCCCACACCAGCAGGAGCTCACCAATGCATGTGTTTACAGTAACAGCTTTTAAAACGAGCTGAAACTGTTTAATCACACAAGATGTAAATGTATTATTTAATATGTTAAAGTTTATATATTTTTAATAGATCAGTTCATGAAAAAAGCATATAAGCTAAACAGAATAGAAAATATGTGTAAACTGCAGTGGGCTGGGTTTGTGTGTTTTTGGGCGTGATGGTAGCGGGGAATGATATAATCTGAAATCCTGACTTTTTGACCAGAAAATATTGTGCCAATTATTTATTAGGTACTTCTAAGGCCTAACAGACATACTACTCTAACAGTCAGGATCAGAGACTCAGAATGATCAATTGATTTTACACTGAAATTGCAATTTTCAGATTGTAAGAGCTGCAATTTTAATTATAGCCTATTTTATCAACTCTTTTTGGTTGGTGGACTATTCTCAGTCCAGCAGTGACACTGAGGTGTTTAAAAACTCCAGCAGCACTGCTGTGTCTGATCCACTCAGACCAGCGCAACACACACTAACACACCACCACCACGTCAGTGTTACTGCAGTGCTGAGAATGACCCACCACCCAAATAGTACCTGCTCTGTGAGGGTCCATGGGGGTCCTGACCACTGAAGAACAGGGTAAAAGGGGACTAACAAAGTATCAGAGAAACAGATGGACTACAGTCTGTAACTGTAGAACTACAAAGTGCAGAAACAAGGAGGTGGTATATATTAACTCTGTTCTGATTGGCTGTGCTTCATTCAAATAACAGTCCAGGCTGAAACACTTGTTATAACGTCTGCGTGAGTGGGCGGGGCTAAACGGCTGTAGGCAGGATGTATGTAAACTGAGCCATGTAGCTCCTGTGCTAAGTGTAAAGAAGTTTGATTTTTGGATAGACTATCACTTTAATTGCTGGTTGTGTGGACGCCACAGTGAGAAGTGATGAGGGGGTGTGATTCTCTCTCTCTCTCTCTCTCTCTCTCTCTCTCTCTCTCCCTCTCTCTCTCTCTCTCTCTCTCTCTCTCTCTCTAATAGAGTATAATGACTCGGAGCAGGCGAAGAACGAGCTGTGCTTGGCGGGTCAGTATTATGAGCAGGACGGTTCCGAGCAGAAGAAGGTGTGTCAGTTCAGGAGGAGTTCTCTGGGGCTCTGCTCTGGCCTGCAGGACTCCAGCTTCGGCTACAGAGACGGACGACCCTGCGTCATCGTCAAAATGAACAGGGTCAGTCCACCACTGGTCATCACACGTATCTTACATTAATAGTCATTAATATTCCAAATGAACAGGGTCAGTCAATCAACAGCAGCAATACTACTTTTATTATTACTACTAATAATAATCAGAATTATTATGGATATGTGTTCTAATTCACTTTGTTCTTTATATTATTATTTAGAGTCAACAGGCCTTGTTTTATGCTGCCCTCTCTTTTTTGACCACACTTTTAACAATGTGAACATGCGTGTCCTGTATTTTAAATTATTATCATTATTATTATTATTAATCTGCAGATTATTGGTCTAAAGCCAGCTGGAGATCCATTTATTAACTGCACAGCGAAGGTAAGTGGCTGATTAATTTAATGCAGTGCTGACAGTTTTCATTAATAAAGTACATTTTATATTTTTGGTATCTATTCAGTCGATGTTTCTGAATGTGTAATTAATAGGGGTGTAAAATTTTAACTGAAATTGAAAATCTACAAAGCATACGTTCGATTTTTAATCTTTAATATAGGCATAATTTTTCCCTTCATCAAGCAAAATAATGTGCAGTGTCAGCAAAAACAAAACAAAAGCAGCAACAAATTCCTTTAATTCAGTTCATTAATTAAGTTCCATTTAATTCAAATTCAGATTCCCACAGTTTTGAGGGAAACACACTGTATATTGTATATTGTGTATATATATATATATTATTCAAACGTTGAAAATTGTAATCATGATTAATCACATGATTAACAAACTTGTTACAATGATGGATAAACCTGTTTAAAAGTCATAGCAATAAAAAAATAAAAATACTTCATATTTCAAAATGATAGTATGCAGTGTTCAAACAGGAAATCATGCTACTCAAACTGCTCCACGTTATACGTGAGTGCTGATACAACTTCAATAGAATACTAGGCTTGTTAGTTAACATGCTAAAGGCTACACAGCTAACAACCACATTACAGTGCGGCTCTACAGGAAGCTTACAGCCAGACTAAGCCGTTATTCGCTGAATGTGTGTGTAACGACCTCACGTTTTGTCTAGGGTGCGTGGGATCTGTAACATGTGGCATTAAAATACTGAACTGGGGGCTCCCGAGTGGCGCAACCGTCTAAGCGTTGGCCCTATCATCAGGAGATCGCGAGTTCCATCCCTGGTGATGCTACAGCCGTCCGTAGCTGGGAGTCCAAGAAAGCACAATTGGCCTCGCTCTCTCTGGGTGGGTGGGATGGCTGCCCTTCTCCCCCCATCACTCAGCACTCATGCTAGTCAGCGCAGGCGTCTGTTAGCTGACGTAACAGATCTGGCGGTTGGCGCTTTCCTCCGAGCGCGTTCGGCTGTCCAGTGGCGTTGCGTGAGCGGCAGCTCGAAAAGAAAGCGGTGGCTGGCTTCACAGGTCTCGGAGGAAGCCTGTGTTAGCCTTCACCCTCCTAGCGTTGATAGCATCGTGTGATTGGGGGAGTCCTAACTAGCGGGGTGGAATTGGAGACGACTAAATTGGGGAGAAAATCGGGGTAAAAAAATAAAAAAATAAATAAAAATACTGAACTGGTGAGAAATGATTAGAAGTGTGAGCAACAGACCTTTTAGGGCCATTTTTATTAAAACAAACCTCTATAAAACCTGTGCTGTGATACCCAGTACCACACTGGAAGAATCAAACTGGACGGCACCAAAGAAAAGAACAAATCAGAACCTAACCACGCCCACCTACTCTGAAACCAAAAGTATTTAACTAATCTAAAAAAAGGAAACCAAAGCGAACTACTCTAAACTTCCCTAGCCAGTAACCAAAAGTACATGTGGCGTTGCCCTCTGACCTAGGGAGCTAGACGGGGCAGACATCTACGTGGTGCAGATGTATAGGCGCGCCCCTCTTACCTGTTTGAAACCCCAGGTGGTGCAAACAAGCTCTGGTAAAACAAAGTTAAAAGTGTGCAGGTAAAATACCACAGCTGAAGTACTTCCTCTAACAAAGACAAAGTCATGCAAACTAAGTTAAAAGAAGCTTTGGTAAAATACCCAAAACAAAGCACTCCTAAAACATAGGCTCCTCCCCCAACTGCACCAGCCAGGCCTCTGATTGGTTCTCACATGACTTGTTCCAGAGCAGGTACCTCTGTGAAGGAAGAGACCAAGAGAGAGAGAGAGAGAGACAAACACAAACACAAAAAAAACAAATGCATGCTTACACATAACAGTATGTGTGCTAATATTCACACATCCCAAAAACGCTAATCTGCTCCTCAGCGTCTGTTTACATGCAAAGATTTTTGCCAATCCGATTGAATACATTCCGATAACAGATTAAGACTGAGGTGTTTATACCACTCTACTCAACAATCTGATGAAAATCTGTTTACATGCTCACTACAAGTAATCAGATCCAAAATGAGGCGTATGCGCAGAGAACCACTTAGTGTAGACGTTACCATGACAACCAGCATCACGTGAGTCCAGTCAGAGTAAGCAGTGAGCAGCGCTTGTGTCTTTAATTTTAATAATTTAAAATGATGTCAGACTCAGGAAAACGTCCTTCACATGTCCTTATTAAAGAAGGCCGAGAGGAAGACGTCGTGTTCTGAGACACATAAGCTGGACGTCCGTCCCACCGCCGTCTTTTAAAGATCAGAGCATAAACTTCGTCTCCTCTGCAGACCAGTTTCTGCTCCGCCATGTTGAACGGTATAAACTTTCACTATGACGCGACGAACACGATCAGAACGGACTTAAACTTTCTGATAGGGAATGTAATCAGATACAGGCATTTACACGGATATTATTCTTCTATTTAACGGATTATTTACAGGATTACCCACCTCGTTCAATCGGAAAGAAACTGTATTCCGAATAGCCTCAATTGGACTAGACTATTCCAGTTGAGGTGTTTACATGGACGTATTCTACTCCGATTGAGCTATTAGTCGGATTATTAATGGATTATTAGGCTGCTTGTAAACGTGGCTACTGACCCCTGTCCTTCGTCCATGAGTGGCCTCTTGTATAACGTAGGTGTGATGCTCTTGGTGAGCTAACGTTGACGATGCCGTGTTAAACGCAGTACTGCAACAGAACCGCAGCTGCAGCTGTGAGCTCCCCCTTGTGGCGAAACTTTGAATTATAATCAGAAACATTGAGAAGGTTAAAACAAATCGTGCCACTGAAATCGAAACACGTCAAAATGGCATTTTTATGCATCGTTACACCCCTAGTAATTAAAGACTGTAATCATTGGTCTGGTGTAGTCATGACTTTATTTTTGTTTTTATGTCTCGCCTGCCTGTTCTCCCTCTCTGTGTCTCGTCCTCTCTCACCAGCCTGTTCTTTTTTCTTCTTTTTCTTTTTTTTCTCTTCTTTTTCCTCTCGTGTTTCTATTGCATGCCGCCAGTTGAACTCCCATGTAAAGTGATGGGTAAGATCACTGTGTGATGCTCATGTTTATTCTCCCTCGTGTGTCTCTCTGTGTGTTTGTGTTCTACAGAAATCTGCATTTTTATGAAATTCTCAGTTTTTCTGATCTTCACCTCTGTATGTATGTGATATCACAAAACACTGCGCTTTAAAGGAATGATGAACATTTTCTTTAAAATATTAGGAATAATATTAAATGAATTTTGACATCTCTTTTGTAGTAATAAGATTAATAATAATGTTATTTATAGAGCAAGTTTCATACACAGAGCAGCTGAAAATGCTGAAAATCAAATAATAAAGCAACAAAAAAAGCAGAAACACATATAATAAAAGTAATAATAATTAAAATAAAATAATAAAAATGAAAAATAATAAGATTAAATAAAATACCAAAAAACTACATTAATTACAGTACTTTTTTAAGTAAATGCTAAATGACACTAATATTTCTTAAAATTGTGAACCAGATTTGACTCCCTAGATGAATAAAAAGGGGAAGTGCTGTGTTTTTGTAGTGGTCATCACTGTGCAGGTTATATTAGATCTGCACGCAGCGGTTTGACCTGCTGTGATTCAGTAAAGAACATTATAAAACCAGAACACTAATATTACTCACTGTAGCTTTAAGCTGTAGTGTCTGAAGTTGGCTTCAGCCGCCCTCTGCTGGTCACTCTGTGCACTGCACTCTTATATTACTGTTAATGACGGTCTTTATAGATCATTGCTGATCTGGTTCAAAGTCAGCGTTGAAACACATTTGGGATTTTAACTGATTTTGGACTTTAGACTAAAATCCTTTTGCTCTGAGTGACTCTAAACCTTAATTATGTTTATTTTATTAAAACTAATAATTGAACAGTCCATTCTGTCACTACCAAAACAATCATAACTCCAAATACCAAACTTTACCAAATGTTTCTGTGTATTTTGGTAGTGATATGAAAACGTGGGACAGCATTTTTTAAGTTTTTTACTTAAAAAATAAACTCATGATCAATCTATATCGACTTCAGAAGAAATCAAAATGACCCACTTTTAAAATAAAATTGAAAAATATCTTGTGAAAATAAAAAAAGTCAGTATTATTTTCAGAAGTGTAAATTTATTTTGAAATAAAATATTTTGTATATTATTGCTATCTTTATTAATGCTTTGGGTTTAAATAGATTAGAACAAAATCATCAAATAAGATCTGAAAACTTCATTGTGTGGGAGCACCGTTTGAATTAATGTGGTACAGCCCCATTTCCAAAAATGCTGTGCAAAATGTAAATAAAAACAAAATGCAATGATGTGCAAATCATTTAAACCCTATAGTTGATTGAAAATAGTACAAAGACAACATAACAGATGTTGAAATTGAGAAATGTTATTGTTAACTAAAAAATATATGCCCATTTTGAATTTGATGCCAATAACACTTTCCAAAAAAGTTGGGACGGGGGCAACAAAAGGCTGGTAAAGGTGTGTAATGCTAAAAATACCTGGTGGTAGATACATAATAACATTAAAAGATTCAGAGAATCTGTAGAAATCCCTGTATGCAAGGGACAAGGCCAAAAACCAGTATTTGCTGGCCGTGATTTTTGGGCCCTCAGGCAGCACTGCATTAAAAACAGACATGATTCTGTAGTGGAAATCACTGCATGGGCTCAGAAACACTTCTGAAAACAACTGTCTGTGAACACAGTTCAGCACTGCATCCACAAATGCAAGTTAAAACTCGAAAACACAAAGAAGAAACCAAATATAAACAGGATCCAGAAACGCTGCCGCCTTCTCTGGGCCTAAGCTCATTTAAAATGGACTGAGAGGAAGTGGAAAAGTGTTCTGTGGTCCGATGAATCAACATTTGAAATTCTTTCTGGAAATAATGGACACTGTGTCCTCCAGGCTAAAGACCATCAGGCTTGATATCGGTGCACAGTTCAAAAGCCAGTATTCATGATGGTATAGGGGGGCCTTAGTGCACATGGCATGGGTGACATGCACATCTGTGAAGGCATCATTAATGCTGAACGATATATACATGTTTTGGCAACATATGCTGCCATCCAGACGACGTCTTTTTCAGGGAAGGCCTTGATTATTTCAGCAAGATAATGCCAAACCACATTCTGCAGGTACTACAACAGAACTGCTCCATATTTAAAGAGTCCTGATGCTAAACTGACCTGCCTGCAGTCCAGAACTGTCACCACTGAAAACATTTGGCACATTATTAAATGAAAAATACAACAAATGAGCCCCTGAACTGCAGCTGAAATCCTGTATCGAACAAGAACAGGAAAACATTTCACTTTCAAAACTACAGCAGTGTCTCCTCAGTTCCCAAACACTTACAGAGTGTTGTTAAAAGAAGAGGTGATGAAACTCAGCGGTAAACAGGCCCCCGTCCCAACTTTTTTGGAACGTGTTGTTGGCATCAAATTCAAAATGGGCCTATATTTTTCAAAAAACAATAAAATTTCTCATTTTCAACATTTGATTTGTTGTCTTTGTAGTATTTCCCTTTAAAAAAATATGGTTTACGTGATTTGCAAATCATTGCATCCTATTTTTATTTACATTCTGCACAGCGTCCGAACTTTTTTGGAAATGGAGTTGTAAAATGGCCCACTGACACCTCCAGTCAGAAGTTCTGACACACTGAAGATGCATTTTTCAAGAAAAAAAATTAATCTTGGGACGAAATACAAAATACAGAGGAAGTTGATGCCTGTGTATGAAACTATTTCCAAAAGAAAAATTTCAAATTTCAATTTAAATGAAGTGAAAACCCCCAGTCAGTGGTCTTCATCGACAGCAGGGACTCAGCATGTGTTTCACCTTCAGTTCTGTTTCTCTGAATCTCCTCTGTGAGTCGGTTTGTCCTTTACAGCTACTGTACGTGTTTTTAAAGGTGTATGCTGATGTTTTATGAATATCCTGTTTTCTGACTTCACGCTTGTGTGTCAGATCATTGCCTGATGAATGTTGTCTCCATTTCTGCAGGGGGAGAATCTGGTGATTCAGTATTTTCCGCAGGAGGGCCGCATTGATAGGATGTACTTTCCTTACTACGGAAAAAAGGCACACGTAAGTACTGAAACAGGGCGGCTTTGAGTGAAACAGGCCCTAAAAGTCACATACGGTCAAATCTGATCATAAAAAATTTTGTTCTTCATCAGTTTCATTTTTAATGTGTTTGTACAATTGAACTCACGCCTGGTTTGAGTGAGTTAAACATTAAAAAATTAAAAATTAAAAGCTGAATTTGTGGTTAACTAATAATACCAGTAATCAGAAAAAAAATAGAAAAATAACAATAATAAAAATAACCTGCACATGGCAGTCCAGTACAAAAGTGGATGTACAGTGCTGTGAAAAAGTATTATTTTGAACCCATTTCAACCATGTGAAAAAGCAGTTGCCCCCTAAATACCTAATAACTGGTTGTGCCGCCACATCACCACAAAGGGTTCTGCTGCTGTTACAATGTTAAGCTTGTAACCGTAGAAGAACTCTTTGGGTACTGTATAGAACCCTTTTCAAAAAAAGTTCTACATAGAATTATCTATAGCACGTTCTCCATCAATCTGAAGAACCCTTCCACGATGCAAAGAAAGCTTTAATCATGCAAAGGGTTCTTTGAGTGTTCATGGTTCTAAATAGAGCCATTTCCTTTACTAAAGAAACCTTGAAGAACCGTCTTTTTTAAGTGTGTACATGTCAGCACAATCAGCACATCTGTTAAAATTAAAGTATCATCCTGATGTCTTTGCTTAACACCACTGCATGAAAATATAAGACATTCTTGTGACAGAGTTGCTTGTGTCTGACCCCGTGTCCTCCTGCCTGTAGGAGGGGTACGTTCAGCCTCTGGTTGCGGTGAAGCTGCAGCTGAAGAAGGAAGATTACAGTAAGGATATGATGGTGGAGTGCAGGGTGGAGGGCTCGAACCTCAAAAACAACGACGATCGGGACAAATTCCTCGGCCGCGTCGCCTTCAGGGTGCTGGTGACCGAGTAACACCAACAGCCAGAGCTGCCGTCCTCCGCTAGAGCCCGACCGATATGACATTACTATCACTGAAACCGATTAGTATATGAGGACCTGACAAAGTTTATGTTAAAGAGGAATTCCACCCAAATTTCTACATAATTCAGTGGTAGTTCGGCTAATTTCTTTACAGTGGTGGTGATAGGAACCAGAGATCGCCATGACTACAACACAAATATAGACATTTACTATCCAGAACCACCAGTGAACCTACACCAGTCTTCTGAGTTTATATGGAATGTTGATGATGGAAAATAGTGGAAAATCTGAAATAATAATTTTCTTTGGGGACTATTTTGCCTCACAACACCCTCTATATTGTGTATCCCTCCACCATGAATGGATTTTAAGACCAAAATCTTCTCAAAACTATCATAAATCAGGCAGTGAATTCATAACCATTTCATGTAGTAACTTTCTGTGAGGGAGCTTTTAGAGGTGGACGTCTGGTTCCTATCACCACCACTGTGAACAGTTCTGACTCGGTAAGTTTCTCTAGAACAGAGCGTTTCACACCAAACCACTCTGAACCACTCTGTTTACATTTTAACCATTAAATTATACAGGAAATTTGATAAAATGGTGGAATTCCCCTTTAAAACGGCTTATAACAGCCCGTAAAGTAATATATAACTAGGGCTGGACTGATTAAGGAAATTTTGCCACTGATACCAATTTTAAAGAGCTACATACATTCCAGTAACCGATAATATGGATCTTTACTGACTGTCAGTTCTCAGTTGTCAAGTCTTAAATAATATAAATATTATATTTATAAATATTATAACAGATATGTAATATGAACTCTCATAATTTTGTTCAAAATAGCTTCACATTCCTGAATATGTTTTATATATATATATATATATATATATATATATATATATATTATATTATATATAACATTTAAAAATACATTACAGGTGCTTCATTGATAGGTTGCCAAAATAATCTGTGGAACTTTTATATCAGCCGATTTTATCAGTCAAACGATATATCGGTCAGGCTCTACTCTCTACGGCCTGTGATCTTCAGAACTCTCCGAAAAACACTTGACCTCCCGAGGTCAGATAGACGCCACGATCAGTCCATATCGATCAACCTGTACCCATAATTTTATCAATATTATTTCCTGTCAATATGAGGCACCCTCTCCTGTTTTGTCATGAGTATCATTAACGGAAAAACGAATAAATCAAAGCGCACGTCTGTCAGTACTGTTTCTGCCTGGGCCGTCCTTCGTCAGACCCTTTTTAAACGCCGGTATATTGAACCATGCAAGGCTTTTGTATATAATGTGAATGAGAACAGTTTTTGGTGGTGACTAATACCCTGTGTTTCACGTGTTTTATGTGTTTGTCTCGTGCGTGTAAATTGCAAACGTATTTAACGTAATCGAGCACTGTTTTGTCTGTCATGGTTCACCATGTCCTATCACTGTAAAAAATGTACTGTTTGCTTGTAAAGGAGGGATATCTAATACATTTATGAGAAACTGGAACAAATATCTGTAACATAAGAGATTTCTGTAGCCTCTGCGTAGACTGGGGTTTATGCAGATGCCTTAAGAGCCATTTAACATCTTGGAATAAAGGTTATTTTAAGAAATAATGTGTGTAATGGAATTATTTGTGCAGTAAGACGTTTGAACCACACGAGGGCGCCAGAACGCCTGTCCATCCACGGCACTTGGAAATGCTCTGCTAGTATCTAATGGAAAGAAAAGGGCAGAACACCGCCATCTGCTGGCTGCGCTCAAATCATTTTGACTTGCCATCATTTTGTCATAGGGAAAAATGTCGATAACGAATTAAAAGCCTTTTGCAGCCGTAGAAGCACAAATGAATACAAATTAATAGCAGCATATTTACCGAGCCACATAACGGCGATGATTAAACTACAACTGAACTACAAAACCCATAGTGGCATCTTCTGTGTGTCAGACTTTGCAGTCTGTTTTGGAAAAACGTGTAAAAACTGTTTCTGTATTTTACTGTTAATAAATCATTTTGATTATTAATATAGTGTCAAACATAGCTGTACAGCCTGTAATGTGCAGCACCTCCTACTCAATGTTAAAGGGGAATTCCACTGATTTTTCAAAATTTTTGCATAACTCAGTGTGTGAGATGTAAACAGAGTGATTCAGAGTGATTTGGTGTGAAATGGTTCAGATGTCTTTACAGTGGTGGTGATAGGAACCAGGGGTTGCCATGACTACAACACAAATATAGACATTTCTATTTACTATCCAGAACCACCAGTGAACCTACACGAGTCTTCTGAGTTTATATGGAATGTTGATGATGGAAAATAGTGGAAAATCTGAAATAAGTTTTCTTTGGGGACTATTTTGCCTCACAACACCCTGCATATATCCCTCCACTATGATGGATGAAAATAAATGGATTAACAAGACGTTTTAGGCCAAAACTTTATACAAAACTATCATAAAACAGTGTCTCAGTCATCAGGCAGTGAATTCATAACCATTTCATGTAGTAACTTTCTGTGAGGGAGCTTTTAGAGGTGGACGTCTGGTTCCTATCACCACCACTGTGAACAGTTCTGACTCGGTAAGTTTCTCTAGAATGGAGCGTTTCACACCAAACCACTCTGAACGACTCTGTTTACATCTTAACCATCTAAACATGTGGAACTATTTACACACACACACACACACACACACACACACACACACACATATATCATTTATATATATAAATTATGTCCAGTCCCAAAGATGTCTACCTAACAAACGTGGGGTTTTATTAATAAACATTTTAACATTTTGCAGCTGTTAAAGTCTCTAGCAGAAGATTTCTCTGCTATTGACAAATTAAGATTTGAAAAATTATTTACAAAAATAAAACTGGTGTGTATGTTCTTTTTTATTAAAACTGAAATATCAACAGTGAGCTGCCTCCAGAATGTTAAAAGAGCTGAACGCTGCCAAACATAATGCTGAAAAGGTCCCTAGAACCCATTGAGAGCATAAATTACAGATGAGAGAAGCAGCCTGGCACGTATGGCACAATTTCAGAGGAGTTAAATAAACTCCAAATATAAGAGGTCTGGAAATTTGGCCATAAAAATCCATTTCCAAGTGCCATCAAACTTCAGAAAGTTCAGAAGTTGTAAAGTTTGTAGTAAGTGACTCTGAGTGTGCATTAGAGAGAGAAAGTGCTGCAGGGCCAGTTTCTCTCTGATGGACAGCGTGATCCTCGAGGGCAGCAGCAGGGTGGCCTCAGGCAGCGAGAGAAACTGAATCATAAGCTAATTTATAATAAGACTGAGCTAAAACCTTCCATCGTCGCCGTCAGGCTGAACAGTTACCTTTCCTTACATAAAACTACACAGCAGTTTGGCACCTGAAGAGCTGGTTGAAAAACCCCAACTGAGTCCGGCTGCAGGGTCAAGACAGATACCTCTATTTGCCTAGGAGTTTGTATCATATTCATATTTTATATTTGCTTCAATTAATCCCTTAACATTTCAGGATTATTTTATACTTAGGCCTATTATTCAGCAACTACATGGACAGTGCAAACTAATGGAGCTATTCTTAGGTGATACAAGTGTGTAGTAGGGCTTGTTAAGGGGTTAAATGAGCATCACTGCATACACAATATAGACAAGAAGGCTGTATATCTGATGTGGGAGTGTTTCATAACACTTTCATGAATCAGTGCTTCTTTCTGTGGTCCGTATGACAGTGTTGTGCTAAGCCACATTTAACCACTGTAGGGGTGACGATTCAAACGCTTTTAAAGATCAAATCTTTCTTTTGAATCACTTTCTTTATTTGCTTTAATCTCTCAAAAGTCCCGTTTATGCCATCACTATGAAACACTTTGAATTCAAATAGACAATGTTAAAACTGTGAATGATGTGTGTCCTTAATTTACTGCAGTGGTTCCCAAAAATTGCCCCCTCATACATTAAACTGCCAGCTGGGTAGAGTACAAAACCCAGACTCAAGTAAAAGTACCTTCCTAAAGAACAACTTGAGTAGAAGTACAAAAGTATCAGGTCAGAAAAAAGTACTGAGTAAGAACTGCGCTTTAACTTCCCAGTAAATCCAGCATCTCTCAGCATAAGAACTGAGATCTGTAACACTCTGCTCTTCACTTTTGGTCTAAAATAAAATGCTAAAGCACCAAAGTCAGAGATCTGACCAATCTCGAAACAGTACAGATGTTGTCTTCAAAAAACATAATAAAATGAAACACAAAAAAAGAATTAGTAACTAAATATGAAGGGCAGAAATTTCAGTGAGTAAACAGTACATTTCTTTACTCACTAATATAATTGAGTAGAAGTGAAAGTATGATCATTTGAAAGTTAGGCAACATAATTATTCATGTTAGGCAACATAATTGTACCATATTCGATTGCAGTTATACATTTTGCATTGATTCCATATTCTCCATCTTATTATCTTATTTTTTCTATTTTGAAACATCAGGTTAAATATGTCCCTTTACCCCAGGAAAGTGAATGCAATGTATCTTTAAAACTCATTTAAGATACACAGTTGAGCTTTAAGACCATTGCTGTATATCTGAGGGTGTATTTACAAACTTCATTTCTGGAAAAATTGGGACATTTTGTAAAAATGCAATACAAATAAGAATCTGTGATTTGTTAACTCTCTTGAACGCTTATTTAACTGACTACAATTTGTTTAAATGTACAAAGAGATTTCCAATGTTTTCACTGAGCAACTGGATTGTATTTTGTAAATATAAACAAATTTAGAATTTGATGCAACACGCTCAAAAAAATGCGCCCGAGGCATGTTTACTACTGTGTTACATCACTTTTCCTTTTAAATACAGTTTTTAATAGTTTGGGAAATGAGGATACTAATTGTTGCAGTTTTGCCAGTGGACTTTTTGCTCATCAGTCTGTGGTTGTTGTCTGATTTGTCATGATGCACCATATATTTTCAATAGGTGACAGATCTGAACTGCAGGCAGGCCAGTCCGGCACACACACTCTGCATCTATGAAGCCATGCTGTTGTAGCACATGCAGAATGAGGCCTGGCACTGTCTTACTGAAATGACCATGGACTTTCTGGGAAAAGACGTTGTCTTGATGGCAGCATATGTCTCTCTATAATCCCAATATGCACCTCCTTGTCAAAGGAACCTTCACTCATATGTAGGTCACCCATGCCATGGGCACTGATGCGCCCCGTATCATGACAGATATCGGCTTTAGCACCTTTCGCTGATAAAAGTCTGGATGTTCTCTTTCGTCTTTGGTGTGGAGAACTCAACATCTGTTTTTCCCAAAACCAGCTGAAATGTGGAGTCATTTGACCACAGCGCATATTTCCACTGAGCTCCGGCCCAGAGAACTCGGCGGCGTTTCTGCATTTAATTGATGTATTGGAAAACTATATATATATATATATATATATATATATATATATATATATATATATATATATGTATTACAGCTTCCTACTAATTATTTCTGTGACAGTGTAGTAGTAGTGTAGTAGGAAACATTTCATACATACAATGATATTACAGAATCAAAGTATTTCATGAAATGGGTTTGGCACCACCTACTGAGTGGACAGATTAATCCAGCCTCATCTTGGTAAAAGATGGTCTTATCCTACTTTGCTGGAAAGGAAGCAGGCCCTGTGTGGATAATGCTACGTTCATGCTGTTTCAAACATCATAATTAGAAGATAAAAGAACACAAACACCACCACAATAAACTAAAAAGGATAAATTCCTGAAGAAACTTTTAGTTCACCTGACAAAGCCATTGCTATGATATCCCAAGTGTTGCTAAGGTGTTGTTGTGCCATTGCGGTGGTAACTAAGGTGATTACTAATATGTGGGTTCATATGTGTGCTTTTATGTGAGTCTGTATTTGATTCTACACAATTAATTCTATGATTCGGGACATCATTTGTGGCAAAGTGTAGAATAATAAGAGGAAGATGATGAAGAACATGAAGTTATCAAACCAACCTAATTGCTAGTAGAAAACTAATTTTCTATAAGCCCAGACTTATGGCAGATGCTGACATTTGTATTGTAAACCAGTTGTATTTCAGTTATAAAGTCTTTTTACTCTTATCCACATGTGAAAAAAAGCAGATTAATGCATAGTTAACTCTGTTATATTTTGTGTTGATTCCCCCCAGTATGGGGGTGTTTCACATATTTTGCACATGACTGCTGCTGCGCTTTGTACTCTCTGCTACTGATGATTTCAGTATCTTAAAAAGCTAAAATTAAACTGTGCAGTCTTGCTGAGTTGCAGTCTGAAACCAACAACACCATCTAATCGGTGTGAGGGAGGAGCAGCTGCACTCTCTGACCCTCCAATAGCTATCAATAAATCAGCACTTTGCCTCAGCTGATTAGCCTCCCAGATTTAGTCGAGGCTGCAGCCTGTTACTCGCTGGGGCGGGTGGATCAGACACAGCAGTGCTGCTGGAGTTTTTAAACACTGTGTCCACTCACTGTCCACTCTGTTAGACACTCCTACCTTGTCGGTCCACCCTGCAGATGTAAAGTCAGAGACGATAGCTCATCTGCTGCTGCACAGTTTGTGTTGGCCCACCGGACGCTGTTGGCTGGATATTTTTGGTTCTCAGTCCAGCAGCGACACTGATATGTTTAAAAACTCCAGCAGCACTGCTGTGTCTGATCCACTCAGACCAGCGCAACACACACTAACACACCACCACCACGCCAGTGTTACTGCAGTGCTGAGAATGACCCACCACCCAAATAGTACCTGCTCTGTGAGGGTCCATGGGGGTCCTGACCACTGAAGAACAGGGTAAAAGGGGGCTAACAAAGTATCAGAGAAACAGATGGACTACAGTCTGTAACTGTAGAACTACAGAGTGAAACTATATGGTCAGTGGAGCTGATAAAATGGACAATGAGAGTAGGGACAAGGAGGTGGACCTAATAAAGTGCTCAGTGAATGTATAGTCATGTGTTTGCTTGTTTACAATGATAGTGACAAGGTCAAAATATCCATTTTTCCATTTCAGATTTGAAATAAAATAGAAATATCCTTCTTTGGCTCAGAATTAAAAGACTTAGTTTAATTTCTGATTTGTTAGACTTGCTGCACTCCTCATAATGTATCAAAAACAATACAAACAGTGCAGTGAAGAGATCAGATGTGGCTCAAAGGTGAAAGCTACACATCTTGCGGCTGTAGTTCACAGAGATTAGAGGTTGATTTAAGTACGCCATGATAATCCAGATTATCATCTTATAAGATAAGTGTGGCACTCTGAAAATCAGCCCAGGACTTCAGCCAGCTTCTGCGCTGATGTGTGCTTCCTTCTGTAAATAGTTTCAGCTTGTCTTCTTCACGTTCACCTGCAGTTTTCCTTTAGGTATGAACATTTACTGCTACAAAAGTTCAGCCAAGGCTTACTGCTTTACTTCATTAATGTCAATAATCACTTATTTTTTGCTTTTTCAGTGGTGTAACATACATTCAGGGGTCTTCCTTAAAAGAATGGTTCTGAGAAAAATCCAATTTACACAATTTTGCACTTACATTACTAACATTACTAACAGAAACTGGAGCTCAGTAGTCACCCAAATTGAATCTGTAAAAATACGTCCCCAGAACCTCTCTCAGCCCGCTTAAACCACATCCAGACCAGTACCTGGGACAGTGACTCTCATAAATACAAAGGAATCTGATCCAAGATCAGTCCTGCTTTGTGGAAACCAGCCCTCGTGCTGTCTGAAATGGCTGCGGTGAAGTTTTATTAAGGTTTATAGCTCACGGTGAGTCATACTGTGCTCTGAACCACGTTAATGAAGACCTGGATGCAGTTTGAGGGGGTCAAGAGAAGTTATTCTTACAGAAACGGTTTAGGCTATTTCGGCGTTTGGCATTGCAGCTCCTGTTCTAAGCTATAGTAGCAAAGTTTGGTCTTGGCTAGTTGAGTAGATCTGGGATCAGTGCAAAATTAGGTTGATTTTTTTGCTGAACTGTCATTTAACACTCACATTTGTTCAAACATTGAAAAGTTTAGGCCAAACTTGTAAAAGACAGAAGCATTTTTATTAATTCAGATAATTCATAAACCAAGCATGTGACTGTGCAATGTTATATTTACAGTTACAAACTAGGGCCCGACCGATATGATAAATCATCACCGATACTGATTTTAAGAAGGTATAAAATTCAGATAATCTGCGATATCAGCTAAAATGATTTATTATGGTGAAAAATTAAATGGATTTCTGTAGTTTTACTTAAACAGAGTTTTAGTGACTTAATGGATTGATCCATTGATATGATTGTCAGCAGAAAGTCTTAAATTATGGAAAGGTTTGTGTGGAGCTTCCCAGTACTGTTTTGTCTTTTGATGCCAGTTGATGTTTTTTTGTGTTATAACATTACACCAATGCTAAAGATTGGTAGTATAAGAACACTGGACCCTTAAAATCCTCAAATTCTCCTCACCTTGTTGTTGTTCATTGGTGAAATGTTGTTGATAGTGATATGCATGCATGTTCAGTTTTATCGGCTAACTGATATATCGGTCAGGCCCTATTACACAGATCTTTAACTGTAATGGATTTCGCACACTCTTAATAACGACAGATTTGTGTTCCTGTTCACAACTTAGGCAGGACAATAGCACAACAACACAGCCTTAATAGGAAATTACACCAATTTTCCAAATTTTATGTATAATTAAATGGTTAAGATATAAACAGAATCGTTCAGAGTGGTTTGGTGTGAAACGCTCCGTTATAGAGAAACTTACAGAGTCAGAATTGATCACAGTGGTGGTGATAGGAACCAGACGTCCACCTCTAAAAGCTACCTCACAGAAAGTTGTTACTACATGAAATGGTTATGAATTCACTGCCTGAGAAGATTTTGGAGATAAACTATATTCATGGTGGAGGGATACATAATATGCATGGGGCTGTGAGGCAAAATAGTCCCCAAAGAAAACTTATTATTTCAGGTTTTCCACTATTTTCCATCATCAACATTCCATATAAACTCAGAAGACTCGTGTAGGTTCACTGGTGGTTCTGGATAGTAAATAAAATGTCTATATTTGTGTTGTAGTCATGGTGACGCCTGGTTCCTATCACCACCACTGTAAAGACATTTGAACTATTTCACACCAAACCACTCTGAATCACTCTGATTACACCTCACACACTGAGTTATGCAGAAATTTTGAAAATTGGTCAAAGTCTATTCTCCTTTGACATGAGCAGGGCCGGAAATGCTGGACCATCCTAACTCGGGCATCACGGAACAGAAGCTTATCTTCTGTCCCTTATCTATTAAAAACCTAAACTCTGTACACGAACCTCAATAGATTAACATCTCAATTATATATACATATTTATACAGATACATTTCATTTGAAAACCTAGGTGCATAATCAGAGTAGACTCGTCGTGCAAACCCCACTGATTAATGAGGTCAGAACGTATCACGAGGCATTGAAACATCTTTCAAATGCACTTTTTTTTTTTGCAAAAATATAACTATAACTTTAACTTAGTTTCATTCACTCTAACAGGGCTATGTAAATGTTTAGTGTGGTCGGTTGCTGTTTCTGAACTGATACGCAAGTAAACAGTGATTTTGGCAAGGCGAGAAATGCTTGGAAACGATGCCGCCAACCGACGCGTTTCCAACCATTTGAGCCTTCTGTCGACGTTGCGCCCCAGCAAGCTCAAACAAACTCTATGTTACAATTTTCACACCCACACAGTCCATTAAGGAGATAAATTATAAAGCTAGTCCTCTAAAGTCTTCTCAAATGGTAGTTTCACTTGCGCCCCCTGCTGGGGAGGAGGGTTTACTACCTACTTCACAAAAACAAAGCAGGAAAGGAGGTAAACGCAAACTTCCCCACTCGGTCCAAAGCTCAGTCCAACTCAGCGCGAAGGAATGTGTCCAGCATCTGAAGACGAAAACCGAAACATTCCTATCCCTACAGTGGACTTACGTGCCATTCTCTTTCTGCTTGCGTTCCTCTCGTCTTCAGAGGAACGTGTGGTTTGACTTTGGTCTTAGTTAGCATTGATATAGCATGTACTGTACGGCTGGAGAGCTCCATTACAGCAGCGTGCAGGTTCCTGACTTCTGGTCGCCGTCCAGGCCAGCCGAGGACTCTTTCCGGTTTGGGTCGTTGAGCTCGTCGAAGAGTCCCGTGTTAATCATCTCTTCCTGCCAGGGGATGGGCACGGCTCCTGTGCTGAACTCTTTGAAGAACTTCTCATCCTTCGCATCGAACTCGATCCCCCTGATGTCGGAGAACTCGGCGATGTCGCCAGTGTCCTTAGCGTAGACGACGTTGGGCTTTGGCTGCCAGGGCGGAGTGATGAGGCCGGCCTCCAGACGAGGGAAGTTGATGGACTTGAACCACTCGTGCTTCCTGGGGTCGTCACCCCTGTGGACACAAACACGGTCAGAGTTAGTATCAATGAACTTTATCTGGAATATTTGACAAGGCTTTGCAGTAGATGTTGTAACATAGCTGTGAGGATTTGATTGAGCATTAGTGAGGTCAGGTGATGTTGGATGGTCAGTTCCCGGTTGGAGCTCCATCACTACAGAGAACGCAGTTCCACTGCTCCACAGCCCAATGCTGGGGGGCTTTATACCCCTCTAGCCAATGCTTGGCACTAGACATGGTGACTTTAGGCTCATTCACTTATTAAAAGAACTGTCTGGATACTTTTGGACTGTGGAGACCACATCCAGTCAAAATGGCCATTAAGTACAAGTTATTGATTCATCAAGAGATATTTGTGAGGAGATTACATATAAGATAATCCACTTGCATTAAGAAGGAGAAAATCAAGGTAAAAAAACAGCAGTTTCCAAAACTGGAGCTCAAAATCTGATTAAAAGCTACAAAGAAAATGTGGCTCCTAACAACCACCTGGAAGAACTGGTCGACCCCAAAACTGCCCCATCAGATAAACAGCACTTAAAGCTTTCGTCTTTGAGAAAGAGGAGAAAATCAAGCTGCTTCAGATCTGAAAACATCCACAGGTGTTTCTGTCCATCCTTCCACTGTGAGAAGACGACTCAGCGCTGTGGGTCTGAAAGGATGTGTAGCTGTCAAGAAGAACCTCACTGAGAAAAGGAGACGGACACATCAAACAAAGAAGCTGAACGATGGACTGACCACCCCAGAGTCCAGACCTCAACACCACTGAATGTGTTTGATTACTTCAGAAAATGATCAACCAGGTTCTAAGACTGAACTTTGGAGGTGTGTCTGCAGATTCTTTGAGGAGCTGAAAGTGAGTCTCCTGAAAAGAGTGGAAGCTGGAATAAAGGGAAAGAGTGACTCCCTGACACTCAAACAGCTGAGATTGGATATAAACATCATTTTTGCAGTAAACAAATGGAAGGTCTCACTGAAATGTAATGTAAATAAATTTCATAATGTAATTAACAATTTAACTATTATTCCAGTATCGCAATATGACAACAATAACTTTAGACCTCTAAAGGTTATTATATAAGTAGGACGGAGGAGCAAATGAACCAAACCAGCCCTAAACATACAAGCAACACAGTCTGTTTCTCCTGTAAACCTTGTGTGGCCTTTGGCTACAATATAGAGGACACAGAGTTCCAGTCTGCTCGTCTTGCTTAAACACTCTCGGTTCGAAGGATCAGGCGGTTAAGAGGGATGGAGGAGCTTACTTGCAGCCAAGGCGTTCGTCTACCTTCTTCTTGAGGAACTGCTGGATGATGTCTTTGGTGGCAGCGTTGAAGTTCTTGTGCTCAAACTTGGGCTCCTCATTGATGATGCGCCTCTGAACCTCCTCCTTCTCCACCTTCTCCTTCTTGGCGTCAGGACCTTTGAAGGGGGTGTAGCCAGCCACCATCTCATAGATACTGACCCCCAGAGCCCACCAGTCCACTGACGTCCGGTATGGGACTTCGGTCAGGATCTCAGGGGCCATGTAAGCTCCGGTACCGGCCTGAAGAGGAGAAGATGGGGGAATTTATTAGGAAATTTTGAAATGAAATTAAGTTAAACATGCTTAATAATGGATGTGAGAGGTGGTCAAAGTGGCTTCATGGAGATAATCTATAGACTGAATACAGAAGAACATCATTTCCAGAACTTTTATATTAGCTATGAGCTCATTCAGAGGACGAGGACACAGGTCATTCTCATTTATTTGCTTTCTTCCCTGTGTGGGTGCTGTGTACGCTTTTCAATGAATGGTTCTTTGGAGACCCTTTGTTGAAGATGAGACTGGAAATTGGTGTAGAAGCTTTACATTTTGTGAAGGTTCTTTATTTATAACACAATAAGGCTTATTATTCAGTAACTACAGGGACTTCAGTGCAAACTAGCTGAGCTATTCTTAGATTATAGAAATGTGTATAAATAATAAAACATTATTTATAAGTTGGCAAAAGTGGCTCTTCAATGGAACCGCCCATAGAACCCTATTTGGCAATTTCATTTTTTTATAAATGCATGTCATGCTAATCTGAAAACCTTTAGAACTTTGAGTCAAAATGACCAGGATTGGAGTTACTACTCTTACACAATACAGCTACAAATAGCATAGTTGGTTATTTCATTATTTACTGCTATTGTAATATCACTGTGTTGTTGAAGAATGATAAACATTCATTGTACAATAAAGAATTTTGTCTACACACTAAGGATTCTTTGGTAAAGAAAATGGTTCTACATAGAACCATGAACGCTCAAAGAACCCTTTGCATGATTAAAGGCTTCTTTGCATCGTTAAATTGTTCTTCAGATTGATGAACAACGTGTTTTGTATGTGTTTCTGCATATAACTTTTTGAAAAGGGTTCTATATAACACCAAATAGGGTTCTTCTATTGTTACAGACTTGACATTGTAACAATAGAAGAACCTTTTTTGTTGTTGTTGTTGAAGAATGAGGAAACATTCATTGTACAATAAAGAATTTTGTCTACACTCTTAAAAAAGATTGTTCTTCAAGGGTTCTTTGGTAAAGGAAATGGTTCTACATAGAACCATGAACGCTCAAAGAACCCTTTGCATGATTAAAGCCTTCTTTGCATCGTTAAATCGTTCTTCAGATTGATGAACAACGTGTTTTGTATGTGTTTCTATATAGAACCTTTTTGAAAAGGGTTCTATATAACACCAGATAGGGTTCTTCTATTGTTACAGGCTTGACATTGACCCGTTTCAGAAAAGGCCGTTTATAGAACCATCTACAGCATACTGTTCATATAATGGTCTAAAGAACCATTTAATGATGCAGAGCACCCTTTAATCATGCAAAGGGCTCCATTTATACATATACAGTACTGTATAAAGGCTTTAGAGTTAAAAAGCTGTTTATCTGCTTACCAGGATTTATTTGCGCAGAAATAAATTAGAATAAACACAAATACATGAATACTATAATCAGTGATTTTATGTGTTTCTCCTCAAGGAAGCCCATATTGTAGTTCTTATCCAATACCTGATTTATCTAATCAATACTTCATTATGTTAAATCAGGCGCTGCTGATTAAATTAAGGAATTTGAATAAATCCATGTGGTGGCTGGAGCTGGAGAAATCTGGAACCACAAATTTTTTAATGAAACTAACTCACAAGATATCAACTACTTTTACCAAAATATGAAATTCATGTTACTTTTTATTGTATGTGTGTTTATTTGCATCTGTTCTAATGACCTGGTGTTCTAAGTGACAAAAACTTTCTTACTGCCCAGCTAAATAACTTTAAAGAATATGTTTCAGCGGCTTCTGCACAGTCTGGTTAATTGAAACCGAAATGTATTTTGAGCTGAAACATCTTTAACACAGTAAAGCCAAAACGGTGATGGATGAGAGGAGTTTATTTCAGCAGACGTGGCTAAAATAGTCCACCCTTTTTACGGTAGGGCTCTTTATGTAAGCGCTGGCCTGCCCATTGCTCCTAGCTGACCTCTCCTCAGAGCCAGAGAGAAGAGGCTTAATTGTAATCCTCTACTATCTGTCAAGAGTCATGTGCGGATCCGCGGTGATGAAGTGGACCGCCTTACATCACATAAAAACTCCACTGCACACCTACTGGACGCTCGCGGTGCGCCCTTTTACCTGGAATCATTCATTAATCGTTCTAAACGTATGTGGAAATTGGTTAAAATGGCTTTAAGTTATGGAAAACATTAATACGAGTTCTGCAGAGAGATTTCTTGAGCTTTAATATTGGATTTCATTTCACCAACACCAGCATTTTGTAACATAAAATCCAGCCTGCAGTCAGATATTTAATGTACTACTGTGCTGACTGTGAAAACTAAATGGTTTTGGCGGTTAGCAAGCAGCTGGTTAGCATGTTTATATTTCACACAGAGTTAGTTTTGTTATTTAACTTACTAATATTTCCAGCATAACATGCAAGATGTGACACTGGGCTGCGTCCTTGTCTTGAATGAATACATTTTCTCTTCAGAATGAAAACCAATGACTGAAGACCACCTGCTTAGCCATTTAATAATGAAATAGCTAAGCTAGCTTGACATTTAGATCGTGAGCAAGACCATCAAATGGTCAAATGTAGGCATATCTGTTACTAATATGTTACATTTTTAGCCAACTGTGTCTATTTTCAGGAGTTTCTGACCACTCCAGTCCCAAAATATGTCAAGAAAGCAGGTACAGTTAGCATGAAGGGAGCTAGCTTAGCACCCACAAACACATATGCTGTCTCTTCTAAGTTCAGCAGACTGCTCAGAGACAGATTTGTGTAATTCTTTCTAAGTAAGCGGATCAGGAGCACAAAGTCAACCAAGCCGCTGGGGGTTAGCCTTGGGCTTCAGCCTGCACTGGTGACCCAAGAAGGGCACAGGATAATGAGCTTAGCTTAGCCATGGAACGGGCTTTCATTTTGACTGAAGCAGATTTGACTCCTGTTTGGATCCACTGCGCAGTTAAAAACAACATTGGTAACAATTTCTATGAATGTCACCTTTGTAAGCATCTATAAACATATTCATAACATGTTATAATGCATTCATAAGGTATTATAAACATGGCTATAAATATTTATAAAAATGCATTACATGTTATAGCCATGCTTATTATGCATTATGAATTGTTAACATAATACATTATAAGTACTGATCATAACAAATTATAACAGCTCATAAGTCGTATTTGTCCGCTCTAAATAAAGTGAAGCGTACTGTACTAAAGCCTCCTCCAGTGTTCAGAGTGAGGCTTCAAGTTGAAGTATTTACTGAAGGATTTACTGAAACACTAAAACATACATAATAAAACACATTACAGGCTTCAAATGTCAGAGTTTAAACTAGAGCTGCCATCAGTGCTTTACCCAGTGTGGGAAAGGTAATGTACACCACCGTTAGCTTGGTATTTGTCTTTACTTTACGCTCTCCAAGCCGGGACTGACTTCTTTGGCACTGACAGTATAATATGTTATCAACACTACTTATAATGCATTATATTAACAATTCATAATGTATAATAAACGTGGCTATAAAGTGTAATTAATTTTTATAAATGTTTATAATCATGTTTATAATGCAGAATGAAGGCGTTATAACATGTTACAAATGTGTTTATAGATGCTTACAAACGTGACATTCATAGAAAGTGTTACCACAACATGTTTATAGTGTTTTGAATCAGGGTTGTTATTGCTAACTGAAACACCATTGCTAAAACGAAAGCTACCAGTTAAAAAATGTGCTAATTTGCTGTAATAACAATAAAAATGACAGATATGGAAGCTAAATCAAAACTTCAATATCCACTGGAAAACTAACTAAAACAAAAGAGAATTACTGAGAAAAGACTTTCATTTAGTTTTTTTCAGTGCATGAATGAAGGTTCGTTGTGTTAATTTTTATTTTACATATATTAAATACCTTCCATCACACTAAAACTAAAACAGAAGCTAATAAAAACTAAAAGTATTACTTTTCAGAAAGAAACAAAACAAAATAAAACTAATACTGCTTAAGACTAACTAAAACTAAACTAAAATCAAAAGCCAAAGACAAAAAACTAAATAAAAATAAAAGCTAATCGAAGTTTCAAAACTATCATAGAAACTTGTTTTGAATGCAGATGCTAAGTGCGGAAGACCTACGTACAGTAAAATGGCAGTAGAATCGAATCGTGGGCTCCATGCTAAGCTAGCTACCATGGCCTTATATGGCAAGCTAGCCTTGTACTAGCCTTATATGGCCTTGGTAGCAATTCAGTTTAATTTCTGATTTTACTTTTACTGAAAAGTAACTTTGAGCCATGACTTGAAATCAATAGCAAAGTTTACGGAAAGTTAACATGCTAGCTGACGAAGAGAGTCAGAAATGATAGCACGACAAAGCTAGTTTTCCTTAGTGACCAGAATCTTAAAGTCTGTGATTGGATGCAAAAATGGAATAAAAATAAAATACAGCTAATAGGATTCAGTTTTACACACCTCCTATTTGTAAATGTTTATTGTATGAGCAGCCATAGCAAATTCATTGACCATCATCAGTGCTGGCGGCCTAATTAGTTGGCATATGTCATTTGCTGGGTGGCAATTTGAATATTTTGATAATTGATCTTTAAAATCAGCTTTAGTCTTCCTGCTGTGTTCACACTTTGCCCTGCCCTTGTTCCAAATCTTTGTGGCTGCTTATAGGAAACCAATATCACTTTATGTAATAGTAACGTAAAACTTAAATTATATCAATTAAGATATTTGCGAAAACACAATTTGATTATATATTAGCCATTTAAAGCTTGACGAAGCTCAAAACCACAGAATTGCTCCTTCAAATTAGAGCTTTGTGGATGAAGGTCCATCAGAGCAGATGAGGACACCTTGCACACTTTGCACATTGCTCAGGACTCAAACGAGATGGTTCTTTAAGAGCTTGAACTGTGCTTATAATTGGTCCGGCGATGCTCAGCATGCAAGAGACCAAATGAGTTATGTAACAGAAGCAGAGGCCCCCCTCAGAATGTTCCTAACAAAGCGGTAATCCTCACTCTGACAGAGAACCTGGCCACAGGGGTCAGTGCTTTACACTTCAAGACCCCTTTTTAGCAAACAGCTTTTTTAGGCTGCAAGTAAAATCACACAAAACTGACGTCCAATCTAAGTTTGAGATTCAAGTTTGGAAATTTTGAAAACTTTCAACTTTCAGCTCCTCACTAATTCAAAACTTTTTCATTCTGATTCTTTGGTACTTCTGGTTGTTGTAACTACAGATTATATTATTATATTAGGGCTTGACCAATTTATCATTCCATGGAATTATCAGAATTGTTGGGAATCCTGCCAAAAATTTCAGTCCAGTCTCAGAATGGAGATTTTGTATCGTCATTTGCAATCGTTTGAACGCCTCCAGTATGACTACATGCTTTGTTGATTTTCTAAGTGACAGTAAGTTAACACATGCTCTACAAATATGGCATTTTTTTTTGCAAATTTTAATGCACAATTTATATTCTATATTTGCTGTATTCAACATATTGGAAATGAACATATATGACCTAGACCATGAAATATAAAATGTGATGTAACTTTTACACAGGTCACAGTTTGTTTTGTAGAGGATTTCTTTCACTTAGAAAATCAATTTAGAACAGGAAGTGATTTTTTTTGTGTGTAAACTCATTTGTGAGGTGCTTTTGTTAAGTAGAAGAAACAAAGTGCTTTAAATTTTGTTATTTAAATTTAAATTTTTTTGCAAATTTTAATGTTCTGCACAATTTGAGCTCAGCAGATGTGCTTTACGTTGTGTGAAATTTTATGATGAAAGGACCAATAAAAATGCTCTGAATTTGCTTCAAAAAAAAATTCATTGCTTTTAACTTACATTAAAGGTTAAGATTGTTTTTGCCCTCTCCTGGAAAGTTATCATTTTGGACAATCTCAGGTTTCTTTGCAGAGTGACCTTAATGGAGCATTTCAAGAGTTTAGGTTCTTGGATGCTTTGCAAGTTTGTGCGGTTTATGCAAGTTTAACAGGTTTGACATATTTAAATACTGGCATAATATAATTTTTGCCCATCTTACAGCATTTTCAGCTTTTTAAAAATCGGTATCAGTGATGAAAGTTTCATATTAGCTGGGCCCTGATTTACACAGTTAATGACTACTTCGATCTCACCTTCTGGGTGGATGTTTTTCCATTTGGAATCTCAATAGCCAGACCAAGGTCAGAGAGACGGCACTGGCCCTGGCTATCCAGGAGAACGTTCTCGGGCTTCATGTCACGGTACACGATGTCCATGGCGTGCAGATGCTGGATGCCAGTAACGATCTGGGCGGTGTAGTAAATGATCCGTTCCATCTCGATACCCTTCTCCCCGATGTTGTAAATGTGGTACTTAAGATCACCGCCATTCATCAAGGTCATGACCAAACACAGGTGGGTCTTGGTGTCATAAGCGTAGGCCAAGCTTACTATGAAAGGGCTGTTGACTTTTTCCAAGATCTTCTTCTCCAGCAGAGCCATTTTTTCACCATGCTTTTTCTTCAGACGCTTCTTGCACAGCTTCTTGCAGGCATACATCTGGCCAGTGTTCTTGACTTGCACGGCACATACCTGAAAGCAAGTGAGAAGTTAGAAGAGACCTAAACTTTTGCTTAGTCTAGTTTTAAGATGCCCGCAAACATTCTCTCACAGGTACCATGATCCTTCTAATTTAATCGTGCATGGTACGACTTTTATGTTGATCGATTCCCAGCAACGTCCTGGATCTACAACAAATCAACAGCTATATTACACCAAGAACCTACCTCTCCAAATCCACCCTTTCCGAGCGTCCTGAACTCGTAGAAGTATTTCTCAGTGATTGGCTGCTTCTCGTACTCCTTCCACTGCAGAAACTTGTCGAAGAAAGGGCTGGCCTGGTAATCCGTGAAGGGCTTGCCTTTGAGGAACTCCCGTGTCGCATCTTTCACTTTGCCCATCATCACTTCTTCAAAGTCCTTGTCCGAGACAGCCTTGCACTTTGCCAGCGCATCTCCAGTCAGGTAGGACAGGAAAACTCTTGGATCCTTCTTTGCAGAACTTGTTGATGATATTGGTCCGGGCCTTGTCCTTGGCACCACCTTCGGACAGGTTCCAGTCGTTCAGTTCATCTAGGAACTCCGCAGCCACCACGTATTCAGGTGAAGCATTACTCAGGTATTGCCTGAAAAGCTTCTGTCCGATGGGCTGCTGTTCACAAATGGACTCAAAGTCCTTCTCCACGCTCGCCCTGATGGACGCGCACTGCTCGGCTTTGGGCAGGGCCAAGCTCCGGCGCCGTTTCTTCATTTCCTTGTCGTCCCCGCCTTGGGCTTTCAGGTAGGCCGTATTGGCCACCAGGTTATCGAGTGCCCCCATGTCACACATTTTGGCGGCTGTTTCGGATCAGATCCCACCCTGAGAAAACTCGGAGCTCCGCGGAACGGCTAGTCGAAACTATGGCTGCCTCTCACGGTGTGTGTGTATGTGCGACTCGCTCCAAAGCCAAGGCGCGAATGAGCCGCTTAGACACACGCACCTGCAAGACCAAGACACACTGACAAACCCAGTAATTACTCATTTAGAATTAAATACCTGCCAGGGATTTTCGCTTAAGGATCTTTGTGTGGTCTATACTTGGATGCTATTCATGGAAAGGAACTCATAAGAGGGTTCTCCTCTAAGAAGCTTTACGGGTGTCTAAATTTAGCCAGAAGCAGAACACCAACTAATGGTCGTCAAATGAGCTGATGTTGTCTAAACACTAAGATGGATACAATGAGCAGAAAGAAGGTGTGGGAGAAAACCAGTCAGCATGATGTAGAGCACAAACGTCCTGAGGCCATCTGACTCTGCTAACTTGAATGACAGATGCTCTTATAAAAGATCAGATATCAACAAGAGGCCATCTGTCCACTAAGACACAGTGCAGATTCACTGCTGAGTAGCCTTAAGACTTATCTCGAACAATTGTTCGCTAATTTTGGGAGAAATTGGTTTCTGAAGACATTAGGAGGATTTACACTCAATGAACTAGGAAGCAGATCAGCAACAAAACTAATTTTTTGGCAAATTTGTAACTTTTTCCTAGACAAATTCTGGAAAATTCGCAGTTCAGTTTCATAGCGAATGTCAGTTAAACTATACAAGTATAAATATGCACATACAGAGGGTTGTGCAAAAAGAAGTAGTGAAGGCTGAATACTGAATACGCTGTCCTAAATGTATTCAGAAACATATTTTATTGCAATACATAAAAAGTAACATCTCTCTCACAGTCTGCTTCACTGCACTGATGCTCCCACGAGTTCAGTACAACACTTAATAACTGATCATCACATTGATTTATCAGCCTACTCAGGCTTTAGCAGAGCTTAGTAACACTGAGATTAATAACCGATCACGTTGATTTATCAGTCTACTCAGGCTTTAGCAGAGCTCAGTAACGCTGAGATTAATAACTGATCACATTGATTTATCAGTCTACTCAGGCTTTAGCAGAGCTCAGTAACACTGAGATTAATAACTGATCACGTTGATTTATCAGTCTACTCAGGCTTTAGCAGAGCTCAGTAACACTGAGATTAATAACTGATCACATTGATTTATCAGTCTACTCAGGCTTTAGCAGAGCTCAGTAACACTGAGATTAATAACTGATCACGTTGATTTATCAGTCTACTCAGGCTTTAGCAGAGCTCAGTAACACTGAGATTAATAACCAATCACACTGATTTATCAGTCTACTCAGGCTTTAGCAGAGCTCAGTAACGCTGAGATTAATAACTGATCACATTGATTTATCAGTCTACTCAGGCTTTAGCAGAGCTCAGTAACGCTGAGATTAATAACTGATCACGTTGATTTATCAGTCTACTTAGGCTTTAGCAGAGCTCAGTAACGCTGAGATTAATAACTGATTACATTGATATATTAGCTGGAACCTCAGTGTTTGTAACTTCAAGCTGTAATTAAGGTCCTCTTTATGATTCGACTAAGAAGCATGTTTGCTACATGTTGTGTACACATTCTAAATAAATCTAATAAACACGCACTGATGGTGTTTATTTTGGAGGTAGTATTTTTTTATTTACTAGGTAAGTATTCTTGTAATATTCTTCTAAAAAAGGAAAATTTAACTGTGTACAGATACTTAATGTCATTAAGTATCTATAATGAATATAGATACTTAATGTCTGTATTCTGAATACATATTCCCAATACTTGTATTCCATTATCCCAATCATGCACATACAAAACTGAAAACAGGATTTTCCTCTTTGTAGCTGAGCAAGCCTTATAAAAGTGTTTTTTAATGCTGTTTGTGTGTAAGAGCTGATTGTTTGACATGTAGAAAGCTCCAGTTGTGCGTTTTATCTCAACACGGCTCTTTTGTGGAGAGGTGTGAATTGTTTTTCACAGCAGGGGGTCCCCCCCCCTCATTGCTCGCTAGCAGCTCAACAAAATTTCACAAATACAGACACAACAACATCCTAGTCACTCTGATAACACAATTAGGGGGAACAAATATTTTATTTGATTATACTGAAAACATCTAAGTGGATGTCCACTAGGGGGCGCTGCATGAAGAGGCAACCACAGTAATCAAACGTGCAAAGCAGGTGAATTTGTGAGGTTTTTTGGTGCATGATATTTGTAATATTGTGTTTGAGATCTTCCCCCGAGAATCTTAAAAACCATGAAAAACTCAGCACTGTTTAATGAATTAAATAGTACACCAGCGTTTTAAAGCCACTGTTAAATAAAAATGAAAATAACAGAGAATAAAGTCTTATTGTTAGAATAAAATTGTAATAAGTCATAATATTTTGAGAATAAAGTCATAAAGTTACAAGAATAGACTTGCAATATTTGGAGGATAAAGTGGGCTAACTGTAGGGGGGGCTGCCAAAATGTGTTGGGGACGACGAAGACACCAAGCGATCATTTTGGTTGTCAGTCTCTTTGTCCTCTGTGAAACTACAGGTGACCACTGATAGCCATGTAGACGAGCACTGCCCACGAGTTCTCCTTCAACAATAGAGACAGTTTCCTCCGAGTCTGGTTCTTTATTCTAGATAAACACAGTTTCCTGCACAGCCGGTTCAGCCGGTTCTTATACTAATAACAGGCTGGTGCTGATGTGCAGGAGAGACAGGGAGACTGAGTGTTTCTTTGTAGGTGAAACTGATATGAAAGTAGAACTTTACCAACGTCCCTCATTATAACGTGGAAGTTGCTACCTTCCTTTTGAAAACCACAGTGTTGCGACTGTTCCTGGCAATATTGCACTTTAATGTCATAATTCTATGACCTTATTCGCAACATATTACGACTTTGTTCTCAAAATATTATGATTTTATTCTAGAAAATATGACTTTATTCTATTTAGTCTATCATTTTTATTTTTTAAACAGTGGCCCTAAACCGCCATCGTAAAATAGTGATCCTGAGTGAAAGAGTGAAATATCTGTGAGCACAGTCACCGTCTTCGGTGTGACCAGGTTACTGCCGGGGGGACACTGTATCACCTCTATATCTACTTTACTTACACTCCACTTTTTCAAACAGCTTACCCTCAATCTGCCCCCCTCCCCCCCTCGTTCTATGGAGCTGGGCTGGACGTGGACTAAAACGGATTCGCTGACCAGGCCTTTAAAACCGATTAACCCTAATGAGGTCCACTACTCGGGTTCCACTCCACTCAGGCTTCTCACAAAAATCTGGTTTTTGATGTTTTGCCTCAAAACAAAGTTTCTTGCACTTGGAGTACAAATGACCAGAGGTGGACAAATAGTACACTTATAATAAGCAGATGGTTCTTCAAGGGCTCTTCAGTAAAGACAATGGCACATAGAACCATGAACGTTCAAAGAACTATTTGCATGCTTAAATGGTGAAAATGGTGAAATAGTTCTTCAGATTGATGTAGAATGTGTTGTATATGGTTCTTTACAGAACCTTTTTGAAAATAGTTCTTTATAGCACCTAAAAGGGTTTTGCTATTGTTACAAGGCTGACATCGTAACAATAGAAGAACCCTTTTTGGTGCTATATAGAACCATACACAACACGTTCTCCATCAATCTGAAGAACCATTTTACCATTTAAGCTGTCTATCTATCTATCTATCTGTCTGTCTGTCTGTCTGTCTGTCTGTCTATCTATCTGTCTGTCTGTCTGTTTGTCTATCTATCTATCTGTCTGTCTGTCTTTCTGTCTGTCTGTCTGTCTGTCTATCTATCTGTCTGTCTGTCTGTTTGTCTATCTACCTATCTGTCTGTCTGTTTGTCTATCTATCTATCTGTCTGTCTGTCTATCTATCTATCTGTCTGTCTGTCTGTCTATCTATCTATCTGTCTGTCTGTCTGTTTGTCTATCTACCTATCTGTCTGTCTGTCTGTCTGTCTGTTTGTCGGTCTGACTGTTTGTCTATCTATCTATCTATCTATCTATCTATCTATCTATCTGTCTATCTATCTATCTATCTGTCTCTCTGTCAGTCTGACTGTTTGTCTATCTATCTATCTATCTGTCTGTCTATCTATCTATCTATCTATCTATCTATCTATCTATCTATCTATCTATCTGTCTGTCGGTCTGACTGTTTGTCTATCTATCTATCTATCTGTCTGTCTATCTATCTATCTATCTATCTATCTATCTATCTATCTATCTGTCTATCTACCTATCTATCTGTCTGTCTGTCGGTCTGACTGTTTGTCTATCTATCTATCTGTCTGTCTGTCTATCTATCTATCTATCTATCTATCTGTCTGTCTGTCTGTCTGTCTATCTATCTATCTATCTATCTATCTATCTATCTGTCTGTCTGTCTGTCGGTCTGACTGTTTGTCTATCTATCTATCTATCTATCTATCTATCTATCTATCTATCTGTCTATCTGTATTCCTTCTAAAGGTAGCAGGTAACGGTGTGAGTGTGGATCAGAGCTGCTGTCAGTGTTCAGGTGTGTATATAAAGCTGTGAGGCTGATCCTCTCCTTACACATATAATGCCATTAATTCTAAAAGCAGCAACTTCTAAAAGAGTCTGTGCTGCCGCCGTATCAGCTTCACAGGCCGTTTCTGAACGTTTGGAGGCCCTGAGTGACACCAAGCTGTATTTTGATCAGGAAAAAGTGTAATAACAGCTGCAGATAGATGACATGGTTTATTTGTTTGAAGATGACTTTATAGTTTTTTTTCCAGCCAATATCGTGACATAACATAAATAATTGTTAAAAAGAGGGCCCCTTGTAACTCAGGGATCCTCAGCAACTTCTGTATTAATGTTTCAGTAGTGTGTAAAAGCTTCAACACCCAGCCAAAGTTCATATTTTGTTGATTTTCTAGGTCCTGTACAGAAAGCACACTTAAATATGGCAC